GGCTTTAAAACCTTCCAAGTCCTTTGTGTCGATGAGGTCCATTATCATTGAGATGTTCTTGGCTTCATGTTTCGCATTTGGGCCGTCAGTTTCTTCATTGGGACAGACACAATATCGGCACAGGTGCTTCACATTGTTTCCCCGGCTCCTGTACTTTCCACACAGCAGTTCTGCCTCATCGGTGTCAGCCCTCACCATTGAAGTCCAGAACACCAGCGCCTTGTTTCGGTAGAGCTTTCCTCGGTAAGGAAGGTCCCATACCATCCATTCGTCTCCAAGGGATGTAGTGCTCAAGATGGTTTCAATTTGGGCATTGAAGTCTTGCGCTTTTGTAACTTTATGGAGGTTTCTCCTTCCCTACCCAAAAACATACCTTCCAATCCTCAAGTGCTTGGTCATGACGAGAATCCGCAAACATCTTCTTTCCTCTGGATTTACCTTCCGAATAGTTAACCACAAAGCCAACAATCGCCCAGGCTTGATCTTCTTCGCGATAGTCAAAGGTGAAACAGGATAATGAAATCTTCAAATGCGGTGATTGAAAGGTTGTCCAACTGGCCCGTAACTGCCACATCAATGTAGAACTGGACCCAATGCCTATCTCATTACTGTGGGTCATCTACGTATATCATTATAGGCGTTTCGTATGCCTCGCCGTGTTCAATCACCCACATAGGTCGCCTTTTCAGGTGGTGGAGCCATCGGATCATCATTGAAAAGCTGAAATCCTCATCAGTGAGGCGTGGATCGGTAAGCAAGTGCTCCACACAATTCCGAGCACTGAAGCAAATGACTTATCCGGGCATTGCAATGAGAGAAGGACTATCTCCTTTTACAAAAGGTAACTGTCGCTCATGTTGTACCTTTCCTTAAGAATTCGGAGCAGTTTTTTCCTGCTGAGGTAGTCTGGATTCTTTCCAGCTTTTCGTTGTCCATTAGCGACCCAGTTTCCTCCAAATGCCAAGCAAGTACATCATCATAGGTATCCAGAGGTGTCCTTTTCCTACGGAGGATATCCATTAGTTTGACCCCTCGCTTCTCCGAATCGGTTTGCTCGGGTAATTTCTTTGCCTTTGACACAGTAGGCTCTGAATGCGTTTATGTTGCTTTCGTCTGGGGGGCCGGTATCATCCAAGTCCTCTTTGTTGTCACCTTGCAATGTGGCAACTGACCCTTCCAAACTGAGCTCACTGTCCTCACTGGTAGGCTCACTATCCGAATCCGCGTTGAAACGATCAATGTTGGTAGGGAATCACCATCCTCATCTAGCTCCCCATTTCCTTCCCCATCGGCACCCTTTTTGTTGCCGATTCGAGGATTTGCTGCAGGTTCCGATGGTCTGTGTCTTCTTTGAAACCACCACTACCTTGGATGAGGCCCTGGCATGGGCATCCTCGTCCTGCAATCCTTGTGGAATGGCTGCCCTGGAATCTTGTCCTCTTGCTGCCTTTCTTGGTGCTTTTGCGGGCCGACCGGTGTCAGTGAGACCAAGCTGATCAGCTCTGCCCTTGATCTTGTCTGTCTAGCACCTATAGGATTGAAAGCAAGGTCCAAACCAGGGCTTTCTGCATCAGTTGGTGCAGCGCTTGTTCTGTTGCATGTGAGATTGCTGATATCCACAGATTTGAATTTTTATTGCAAGTAAGGGCACTCAAACTCCTTCTTTGATGATGCATGGCTGCAAGCTAGCTAGCCAACACTAGCTGCTACTAGTACAAGCTAGGCGCACTGGCTGGTGATTTGGATTCTGTGTGCTGGGGAACCGCCCGTTACCAATCGGGATATAGTTTATGGTACCAAAGAGAGGTTTGCCTTCCCGAAAAGACGGTCCAAAAGTGGATCCAAATCGTTGAAGCAGGCAGTCTTGCCGGGCGGGCCTTCGTTGCATGCCCATGTGGAACACACAATCCCGATTCCAATCACTGCACGCATTCTTGGAAGAAATTACGTCACGGATCGGGATCGTGCTGGTTGGCGTTTGGTACCTGCACGCATGTCGATTCTAGCACTACCTAAAAATGCGCTTCTTAGATGTATTGGCTGTTTTTCTCGATCGATCCAACTTACCAGCTCTCGATTTGTCTTTCTGCAACAGACGGTATTCAGTCAACCAGTCTTTGTCCAGACCAACATGGAAGAACAGTTCGCTCCAAAACTTCCGGTTCCCAACAAGGTGGATGGCAATGGCAATCCTCACTCTCATTCCCAACGAAACACTGCCGCAATAAGTCTTGTTCTTCGGCGCCAACCATGCGATCTGTTGATTGAGCGACTCGTTAACTTGGGTGTCACCACCGTGACTCAACTCTTCCAGCTTTGCAAGGGTAGTGAACTCTTCCACCAACTCCTTGATGTCTTCCCACAACCCATTGTGTCTTTCCTTGCAGCGGTACGTCTTTTTGGAATTTGCACGCTCCTGTTGTGTTGCTTTCTTTCTCTTGCACCACTTACCACATTGATCGTGTATATCGAAATGATGCTTGTAGATGCACTGGGCTCTGGTCACCCACTGATCCTTTGGTATGTTTGGAAGGTCAAAGATGAAGAAGAGAAAAACAAGATACACGGAGAATGTCACCTTCCTGCATATCATTTGCTGTTTTCACTGGTCTTGCCTTCATCTTGTACATTCGATTTTTCATTGTCTTCTTGCGATGTGCAGGATCAGCAAGGAATCTTGGTTCTGGAACAGGGTACTTCAACATTCCCGAAACACGGTACACCGGTATCATCTTGATGTGGTTTGGATCCTTCTGCTGCGAAGGAGGGGCAACTCTAGTACCAAGAATGAGTTCTTTTCTGTCGCCCGCACCAAACCCACGATGCTTCAACCAGTCAGCATTGCTCCATTTGCAGCGAGCCTTCATTTTACTGTCATCGTCAGTTATCACAGTTTTGAGACACACGGCCTTGTCGAAGTAAATGTCTTCGGTCATCTTCAACAATGCGGAAGCTTCCATGGCGCCAGCTCCTTCCTCATGGTCCACCACACACTCGTGGTCTGGTACGTCTTCACCCTTCTTTCTTTTGGCTGTACAAACTCGACAGAAGGTGCATTTGGTACACAAACTGACGGGTTTTCTTGTTTTCTCTGCTACTAGACATGCATGACCGGAATGAGAATCAAAAGTCCTCCCGCTGGATCTCTTGTTCCATCCCATGTCTGTGGATGCTCCTATATAAGGAAGTGTTGAGCCTTCAGGAGGTGAGTCACCCGTTTCGAGGCATTCTCTCCAGGCCTTCAAATCTTCTTCTTTACCGGCATATGTAAGCCTTATCTCCTCCATCAAGTTGTCGTGTAGGTACCCATCCACCAGATAGTCCACGTATGGTGCCACTGTCTTCTCTACCTGAGAGAATGTTCTCCTCTCCATTGAGTTAGCTCCCGGTAAAGACATAAAGCCAAGGAACCTGGCTGCTTCTGTCCCACCATCTCCACTTCCAACAAAAGCAAGTACCAAGCGTATATTGACATCATAGTCCACGTTCGAATCGCCCATTGCGTCTGACTGTCTCAGTGTTGTTCCTTAGGACATGCCAGATTAGGTTTTACAAGAGGATCAAGCTCACAGTGGGTGCAGTGCAGTGTTGGCGTTGTTGCCACCCCAATGGATGTAAAGGTCAACTGGATGGTTCCCGCCTTATGACACTTATTACAAACACAATTGCCCTCAATGAGTCGAGACAAGGACTCTGTTTCCAGTATGGCACGGGTAGGTTTTGGTGGTTTTGTCATTGATTCCACGTCTTCAGCCACAACTTCCACTATGACTGATTTTTCCTCTGATTCATTGTCTATAGCCTTTCTTTTGCCGCTTTTTCTATTTGCAGGTTGAACTTTCCTTTGCCGGTAGTCAATACCTTCAATAGGATCTACCCTCGATGAGCCACCAGTGTCAAGACGTTCCTTGTTCCATGATGGGCCTCCCTTGGGATGGTGCTGGTCAAGCTTTCTAAGTGAAGCGTTGTTACTCCTATTGCGGTCCATGGTGGTGAACTTTTGCTGTTGTGGCAATAGTAGTCAAGGACGCAAGCTACAAAAGACCATCCGCAAAGACCGGAAGCAGTTGGCTACTTGGTAACATTCATTGAGATCAACATACCTGTCTCTCCATTCATGGTTAGCAAAAAGCCAACTGGCTAGCGAGGTGTGTGAGGAAATTTGGGACAATTTTAGCGCGGGTGAATGGCGAGACATGCTTCGAGGATGGAATGAGGAGGTCGGAAGTTCCAAATTCCCACGAAATCATGGGATGGATCTAAGAGCTAATGAAAAGTTTATCTATTTGGAGAGCTTTCGAAAAAGTGAGCAAATAAAATCTTAAAACTAAAACGCACTGTATCCCCCGTGGGACATCCTTAACTCAAGCAAAGAACAGTCGAAATTCAGGACTAGGTTCTGTGGGATCAGGGGCAAGCTAAGGTTCACACAGCCAACGCAGCACGATTAGGCGACAGCGGCACAGAAGCGCAGTCCTCTCTGTTACACTAGCTAGCTAGACTAGCGACTAGTAGTGTCATCCTTCATCATGTCATCTGAGCCTGGCATTGCTAAGACCAACAATGAAGGTGCCGTTCCTGAGTCACCTCTTCTGTTTGCGGATGACTTGGTTTGGAGTGGCCAGATTCTATCGTTTGTGGGTGTTGGACAGTATGCTTTCGTGGGGGCTGTCAACAAGAAGATGAATCAACTGTACAAAGAGTACTGCAAAATTGAACTCAAGAATAATCCAAGAGAGGTAGAGGGTTACCCTGGATGGTATCCTTACAAGCGCTCTGCAGAAAGCACTGATACTCTTTGCAGCGAAACATTCTGTAACCAGCCACGTGCAGAATACTGGCTCAACGACAATTCCTACAACAGGACACCTAATCATGATCATGTTTGTGATGTAATTGCCAAAACTGGGAATATTTTGGTGATGAAATGGGCAAGACAACAAGGATTCCCTTGGAATGAGTATACATGCTTAGCTGCAGCTCGAAATGGACATTTGGAAATGCTCCAATGGTTAAGAGAGAATGGTTGTCCATGGAATGCGTGGACATGTTCATCCGCTGCTGAAGGTGGACATTTGGAAATTCTAAAGTGGGCTCGTGAAAATGGTTGTCCATGGAATTATTGGACATGTACCAATGCTGCTGCAAATGGGCATTTGGAAATTCTAAAATGGGCTCGTGAAAATGGCTGTCCATGGGATGATTCGACATGCTGGGCTGCTGCTACAGGTGGACATTTGGAGGTTTTGAAGTGGTTACGAGAGAATGGTTGTCCATGGAATTGGCAGACATGTACAGTTGCTGCTGAAAGTGGACATTTGGAAATTTTAAAGTGGGCTCATGAAAATGGTTGTCCATGGGATGAACGAACATGTGCTCAAGCTGCTGAAGGTGGACACTTGGAGGTTTTGAAGTGGTTACGAGAGAATGGTTGTCCATGGGATGAAAAGACATATCGAGCTGCCTGCAGGAAAAACCAAAGCGAAGTGATCCAGTGGCTACGTGACAATGGCTGCCCTGGGTCTCATGACGAGGATGAAGGGCACTAATATAGCAACATCATTTATGGTAAAGTTAGAAATGAATCGAATCAAAAGCAGGCAATGCTGAAGTTTCACCTCCGAGTGGCATGGGATGCAGACTATCATTACTTCAGAAAGCATACTGTATAGTTAACCGAATCGAGTCGAGTCATGTAGTCCCTCTCAATGATTATTTGATTTGAGGCGTGGTGCAATTGTTTCGTGTGAAGGGGCAGACCACTGGATGCAGTAACCACTTCTCCAGCCGCTAAAGAGTTCCTGTACCGGTACCCACGAGCTTGTCCCCCGCCATCACGTGGACACATGTACCGTACTACTAATGTATGATAGTTCCGACTTGACTCAACTTTATCCACCGTGCGTCCACTCCCCACCTTCGGGCGGTCGATAGGCCTTCGAAAAGAAGTCATCTTCTTCCAAAGGTTGCATGGTGTACCGGTACGAGGACCTCATGGCCGGAAATATGGATTCAGTGATAGTTGAAACTCTTACGGGGATCCCTTGATAGTTGGGACTACATGCATGAAGAATCACGGGTGGCCATGTGTGTCGTCCGTCCAAAAAGAACCCGTACATGTATATAGTAGACACGTTCGTACATGTAGCGGGCAAGGAAGCAAGGAAGCAAGGAAGCGAGCAAGCAAGAACAACAATCTCATCAGACAACAGGCAGTCGACATAGTTTGGGAAACGTACATGTACAGTCAATCAATCAATCAATCAATCAATTTACAATCAGGTACGTAATTTGTTCATGTCAGTCAAAATCTAAACACGTGTGTCCAGCGGTAGCTGGCTCCGAGTCCTTTTTTATCCCCAGCGCGGAGGTCCTCCACCTTTGAAGAATCGAAACCAATCATCGACAGGCAGGGGCTGAACACCTTGAACGGGGACGAATGATTCGGAGGTAGCTTGCACCCGGATTCCCTCGTAGTTGGGACTATTTTGGTTTCCGTATCGGTTGGTATAGTAGACGTTGATTCGATTCAAGTGTTGGAGGCAGGCAGAAAGCAAGCAAGAGAAACAAGTAGCAACATGAAATTGAGTTGGTCGTACATGACATGTAGGAATAGACGTGATATGATCTAGGTAATAGAGCTTTAAAAGAATTGCTGGTTTTGTGCGGGGTACGTACGTTCCGATTGGTGGGGTTGTACGCACGGACATCAATAATTGATCATCATTTTCCAAATCGAATCATGCACTTTCATGCATTCCGTTTTGACTGCCTGACTGACCGACTAGCACTAGCACTACACTATGATAGTGTATGATTGTATCACTTACTCGGATAGCTTGGGAAGCAAGTCTTCAATGACTTCACCGTCTGTGTTGACTAGGTCGAATCGAAGAGGATGGAAGTAGTCAAGAGTATCAGGAGCAGTGTTGATTTGGATTCCTCCCAAGACGGCGAATCCGTTTTTCTTTCCACCGGCAGCTCCTCCTTTGACAATGTCTTGCATGAGCATGTCTTGACTGTCGTAGAGTGCGTATGGGAGTTCCTTCATTCGGTCGTCACCGGCATCCGAGAGACGCTTTCCGTGTGGCAAGATGAGTTCTTGTACGGCCCCTTGCTGGAAGTCGGTGAACTGTTGAATGGCAGTCTTGATGACGGCACCACCGTCAGTGATTCCCTTGAGGTAGTTGGAGGCAGCAATGGCGGAACCACAGCAGTTGTCGACGAGTTCAATTCCCACACGTTCGACCTTTCCAACTTCTCCGGACTTGGAGATGCCAACTATAGTATAAGGCAAAAAGACAACAGTGAGCATCCAGGACAATGTCGCTATTGTATGGCTATATGTATGTGTACAGTACGTACCGTGAGGTCCGTAGATGATGAGACAAGATCCATCATCGGGAATGTGCGCGGCCATGGCGCCAAATCCAGTGTTTCCAGCAAAGGGGAATCCACTGAGTCCTCCCAAGTTGAAGTTGTTTCCGTATATTTTGACAAAGTCGTCTTCCAATCGACGCGCCAATTCGTCGCAGCAGAGCGAAGTGGCCAAGAGCGTGTTGTCAGCCGTGAAGCCCTTTTCAGCCAAGATGGAGACAACCTTGTTTTCCAAGCTCAGATTGTCCAAGGCGCCGGGGAACGTAGCTTCGATGTTGCCGACATACGGAGTGAATTCTTGTGAAGGCGTGTCTTCGAAGATCTTGGCGACCTTGTCCAGAATCACTTGCTTCTCGGCGTCCGTAAACGCAGCTTGCTTCAAAGCGCTGGAACTGGAACTGGAACTGCGGGGAGTAAAGGCCGCGGGACTAAACGCACTGGCAGAAGCCACAAGCAGGGAGAGAGCACCAAGGAACTTCATCTTTGTTTTATTCTTATTAAGCTTCAGGTAAATGTACTATTAATACTAGCTAGCTTTCAGGTGGTGGACAACAAAATAATGGATGATCGTCGACTTGACTTGCAATTGACTTGCAATTGATGGGCCACAACCACAAGGAGCGAGGAGCGAGAAAAACCAAGATACGAGCTTTCTATCCAGAGGTCAAGCCAATGACGTATGTCATCCCAGACGTATAATTTGAGTATTCTGATTTGACTATTTAATAAATATGTATTAATTAAAACGCATCAGCTAAAGGAACAATCTCAATGTCACGTATCAATAGAATAATTATTCATTGATACAAGTATTCAAATAGAGCATCGCCACAGATATCCTGATTCTTGGAACAACCGTGCTACCTTTGGTCTTTTGCAACGCAGTACTGACGTGGATCTTTGTGATGTCATCGAGTGTCAAAGATCTTGGAAGCAAATCGAAGACAGTTAAGACAGATAAGGCTGTCATTGCATCGCTTTTCTTTGTTTTCAGGGTTTGCTACTAGCTAGCTAGCTCTAGCTAGACAAGGCCTTTTAATTGCAAGGCAGGTGATTGTAAGATGCTTCTATTAAAAATACAAGAACGGCTCCAAACTCGTCCATACGGTACGGTACCAATGCGACGCGGAGCGATGATTTTGAGGAGGCGGCTACGTTGAGGACTGGCAGCTCTTGTACTCTTCTAGCTATGATGCAGCCATTGCTTAGTGGTCCTTAGCTATGCATAGGTATGCTCAACAATATATTATGTACTCAAGTTTGATTCATTCGCATTGCTACCCCACTTACTACCATGCGAAGGAAAGATCGCGAAGGAATACAGTACTGCGCTTTCGCGTGACAGTTCCCGGCCATAGTGCGCCGTCTCTATGTTCGCTCGATTGTTCTTCTCCCGGCCGACTTTTCAAATCGAAACATCGTTGCAGGAGAGTCTTGCATTCATGGCTGCTCGTGCACGAGTCCCAAAGAGGAAACCCTGACAGAGCAGCGCACCGCGCCGCACGCTGTGTCCCGATGGGCACGAGCATCGGCTCATTGCGTGCGCAGAACATACATTAATTGCCCTCGCGATACCGGTATGTACCGGTACCAGGTAGATAGTCATACTATTAATAATATGCATACGATGCAGATCACGAAACAGTTGGCTCACCGACACTCGAAAATTTGGATCCGCGGAAAGTCGCGTGCGCGAGGGCAATTCACATCGCGGACTTTCGAAACCTTTAGAGCACCTTCAAGCTATCATTGTACCGTGGCTATTAATAGCTAGCTCATAAATAGTACTACCTGGTAGTAGCTAGTATTAATAAAATTGTTACAATCATGGGCAAAAAGGCAAAAGACGAAATGCGGCGGCAAAAGAAGCTTGCAGCTGTAGCACCTCGGGGATCATCCACCCCCCGCACTATCGGAGGCAGAAGACAACAACGACAGCATGCACAGAACCTCAAGGCTCGAGAAATTGCGCATCAGCAGGAACGTGAAATGCTCTATTTGGAAGCCAAGTTAAGTCAGCTTGACGCGGCGTCCAGGCTGAACGAGCTCAATCTGAGGGACTTGAAAGCCAAGTTGAGCGATCTCAATGCTCCTCCTTCGACCCCGTCGACCCCGAAACCGAAACCGAAACCGAAACCCAAAGCAGTGCCAAAGCGAATTCAAATCACTGCCAATCCAATCGAACCCAAACGGGAGCAGCAACCAGTGGTGGAGGAGAATCACAATCCACCCACTCCATCGCAAGGAGAAAAGTCAGTCTGCTATTCCGTTGATTCCATTTCAAGTTATAACCAGGACCAAGAACAATACCAAGAGGTCCTGCGCTTGTCGACGATCCGATCTCAAGACGCAAAATCGACATCCAAATCTAGCCACAGTCGGGAACTTTATTCGTGTACGGAAGTTAGAGTGGTTCCGGTGACGCTCAGAGAACTCCAGAGTGACAGGCAAGTTGAATCTACATGTAAATCAGAAGACAAGCGAGATGATGAAGATGAAGATGAAGATGAAGAAGACCAAGAAGGAAAGCAGGAGCATGGTGATTGGTTGCACGAATTCAAAGGCCAAAACCTGTTCTGTCTGAATCCTCCCGAGGGGGAGGCGACGTCTTTTGTGGACAAGTGGAGGAATCAAGCTGATCAATGTCGGCAACACTTTGATCAAGACACGGACTACAAGTGGGACGCGCCGCGGGCATCCCACTTCGGGTTCTACTTCAGCTATATGTGGATCCTATTGTCTGACAAAGACGACAGCTTCCAAGACAGGATCACCGAGGAAGACCGTGATTTCATCAGGAAGGTCAGCAGAGACCAACAGCAGCCTAGTTTCTTCCGAGCGCATGCACTGCTGCTCCGCGCACTCACCGACGGAATCAAGAACAATCTGCAAACCGCGGAGAACTTTGTTCGAGGTTCTATCCTTATCTGTAGTGCTGCTTTTGATCAGGACAAGCAGAGGGTTATCGTGCAACTTTCAGGTTCCGTTCACGTTATTGGGAATCTGTTGCACGAACTCGAACAAAAATGCAAAGAGACCATGCTTCGGGTTACCAATCAGCGAGAGGACATGGTGGCTGAAGTCGTGGAGGTCGAAAGCTTGGGTGATGAGAACACTAGTGGCGAAATTGTGAGTTGGGATTGCAGTGCACATGCGCCGCTGTTTCAAGTATTGCTGGACCTGGGCAAATATTGCAGAAGTGGTAGTCAGTAGGGAATGAAGGTTCGCGCGGTGCCTGTCGGTTTTGGGTGGTTGCACACAGAAACTCAGGGGAATCAACCTTGTCTTTATTGAAGCTCCTTCACCATACAAAGGCAATCGGAGGAGTCTTGGCTTGACATGGCCCAACCTGGCTGATCTGGATGGCTCGTGTGCGGTGCGCTCCTGTGCCATACATGCAATCATCGGGTGTCTCGTTCGGCCAACTCTTTTCTTTGATGGAAGCTGGCCCTCCCGGTACCAGTACGGTCTTCAGTTAATTTATACATGGATTGATGTACATGTACCGGTACCCCGTAGAATTTAGGAAGAAATGCTTTGGTCTGCTTGATGGAGGAGGAGACACGGAGTCGACAACTGAGTCGGAAATTGGGATCTCAAGGTATCGAGTGAGCCAAAGGCGAAAGTCCCTAGCTAGCATTCAGAACGAACGCACAAGCATGAACATTGGGACCGTAAAAATAGATTGAGTGGACGTGTAACAAATCTACGAAATCATCTTGCTTGCTTGCTTGCTTGCGAGGATGGATAGCCCTCGAGCGACAGGGATCGATGAAAGCCCGAATTCAACGTTCGCTGGTTGAAGCCGCACATCTCTCTCGAGGTATTACTGTCTTTGTTCATGTTCCACAATCAGCATGCACATTCACTAGACTATTTAGGCTACGTAATTCGGACGTCCACCCCTCGTGTTAGTAGTTCGCAACGAGATCTCCACAGGAAATGAAGAGCTGTCTGACTTTGGAGCGAATTGAATATCGTGGAGCCAGATCCGGACGTCAAGCTTCTAGGCTTGCTCCATCTTCTGGACCAGTTTGCCTGTCATTTCAGACACTTTCTCACCACATTTCCTTGCCATGTCAGCAGCCTTGCCGTTTTTGTTGGCTGCCAGATGCGCCACACCTGCAGCCCCCAGGATACCGCCAAAAGATCCTGCCACCACAAACCCAACAGCTCCTCCAGCGATGGCAGCTCCTGTAATGTATTCTTCCAAGGAATTGTTGCTCCTCGGAGATCTCGTGTTCAAGGTCTCCTCTCCTTCACGACCATGGATCTCAGCATCACGAAACACACACTTCTCCTCGTTCTCTTGGAGGTCCACCTGGTCTCCTGTGTTGTCCTTGTTTTCTTCGCCGCAACCGCTAGATGAAGCGACCCAGAGGCAGTCCTCTTGCGTGTCCGCCTGCTCTGCATCAATGTGGCTCACGATTGCAAAAGAACTAGAGCCAGGATTCTTTGAATTGTACAGCTTGTCAGCCCAGGGATCCACAGCTCTGACACAAGATTGATCGAGGTTCTTGGTGTCTTCCAATGGAGTAGCAAGAGCCTGGAATCGCTTCCTTAGAAACTCTAGTTCTGTCGACTCTGGAGTAGGTTTGACCTGGATGGATGGGATTCTGTGGGTGACATTAACCTTGGCCACATGATCCTCCGTAGCATGGTTCAAGTTTTCCTTCATGTCTTCGTCTTCAACATCACAGAAATCAAAACTACCGATGGCTTTAGGTTCTTGCTTGGGGCCTGCAGGTTCCTGTTTGGCAACTGGGAGACTCAATCCTGTCAGCACCCCATAGAGCTCTGTTGTGTCAGGGATATCCTGTTCAGCCGCATGAGGAACCCTCAGCTGTCTTGGTAGAGAATGGTCTCCACTTGCCAGAGAGTCCTTCCGGATGCCCTTGCAGTCAACATGTTCATAATCCATGATGTTGGTTGATTCGTCTGGGACCTCATTCTGTGTAATGTTTAGTTGGGACTGGACAAAGTCAGGATCAGCCTGATTTGACTTTTCTTCCACACAAGCTGGTTCTGTTGGGTTTGCTGGAGGGAAGGGGCTCATCTTGTTGTTCGTTGACTCAGCGTCAAGAAGGGATCCACCTTGAGGAGCACATGGAAATGCTTTCACCTCTGTCAGAGTCTCTTTGTTGAAATCAGGGTTTGTGGATGGTACAGCTGCTGTGCCCAGCATGGAAGTTTGTGGTTCTTGAACTACATGTAGCGAACCTAGCCCTGTCCCCATTGCGACCGGAACAGAATATCCAATGGGGGCAGCAATGGGTTCCAATGCTTCTTTGAGGGTCATTTGCAAGGTGGGTTCATAAGAGACTTGATGGAGCTTTGCAATTTTGGTCATGTAGTTCTGAACCAAGAATGCAGTCGGAGGAGACAGAGACAGCTTTTCCACAATCCTTGGATTGACAACACCATCCTTGTTGTTGTCTGCATCCATGGCAAGTGTTTTGCCAAACTTGGCAACTAGCTGCTGTTTGATTTCTTGGAGCTCTGGAATGTCTACACGGGGAGCCGCATAGATCAAGTCTGACACACAAGGCACAAGATCAGGTGGGCACTCCATCTTCAAGTGCTTTATTAGTTGAACTCTCTCTACCAGCAATTGGCATTCAAGCTGAAGAATCTCATATGCCTCAATAAGATAGTCATCTTTGATGAGTCTTTCTGTTCGAATCCTTGCCTTTTCTTCTTTGGGGGGATCTTCGGCCAGTAGCACGGCGACTTCTCTCATGTTTTGTTTCATGAGGGCCATCTTTTTGTTCTTGGCAACATCAAAGCGGCTACTGGCCAGCTTTAGTGCTGCTTTGAGCTTGGTTGCATCAAATGATCCTCTGCTGAACATGTTGCTTGGGAATGCACAGGGTCAGTTTGTTTGGATTGTGTGACGAGGAGACAGGAACGTTCTGGTTCACGAATCGAAGCACTCGAATTGGACTGTTTGGATCTTTGTGTCGTGCTGTGACTGAAGCTGCTTTCGCTGACACGTGCCAGTTTCATATGCTCCCGGATTTGCCGGTGTTGGCTGTACCAGGGGGATCATACTATAGTGGCGTTACGGGTGTTCAATGCAATGCAGCTTGCAATTGTGGAAGGATCCAATGGTGACACCCGATCGCGAGCGTCTCGAGCTACGATTGTATGAGGGGATTACCCGCCGCAACGCTGGGCGTCATGCAGCGCAACAAGCAATCAATTCTTCATTGAGCGAAGTCTGATGGCATGATATACCGTGTGCAACCCGACCACGAACCCGAGCTCTAGCCAAATCGAAGAAGCGAAAGAGCATGTGTACGTTGCAGCTGTCTACTCGAGTACCGAAGTAGCCAGTAGATAGCTAGCTAGAAAAGTGAACCTCGGTCTGGTAAAGCTGCAGTCACTGCACTCTTTTTGTTCTACCGCAGTGCTTTTTGCTCCGTCTCTTTGCTAAGAATCTTGCAAGTTCAACAGACCCTAACGATTGCATCAATGCCCCCCCCCCCCGCCGCCGCCGCCGCCGCCGCACAAACCTATTGCTTGGATCCAGTAGCACGACGATGGTTGGTTTTGGTGAATGGTGCGGAAATGAAATGATTGCCTCACTAGCTAGCTACTGCAATGAAGGTACAATGGATGGTTCGCAATACTGGTGTATTATTCCAAGGGCCGCTACAGCAGTGCAAGGACCCGATCAGAGCGCAGAGAGAGCTCACGAAATCTCAGACGCGTGTGGAAAACTACTGACCTTCCCAATCCGACTTCCGCACTTCAAAACGAGCGACAGCAACATGATCGGTCCTCAGCTTGTTAAAAAACACAAAGCTGATCATTCTTTTAATAGTGCAATGATGCGCCCACAGAGGGCCGACTTGATCTTAACAAGAACGCCGCCAGTCTTACCCCGAAGCGTGACAGTTTGCGTGCTTTTGCTGCAAGCCACAAGTGACATCCAGCCAGTACTATTCAGCACAATGATCTGGCCAACACGATGAAACTCAGTGCGGTTGCTGGAGTGACGCAGGACCAAATCCCTCGCCCTCTGGCAGACATTATGGATAGCAATCGCCGCTTACGGAAAGGAAACGTACAAAAAAAACTGAACATCTAATAACGGATTCAGACGAGATGTGCTTGAGGAAAGGAAAAGTACGAGTGCATCTTTCAGGGCTTTCGATCGGGATGGGGACCAAAGCATAGTGAGTTCATCAAGTGGTGCCAAGAAGAAGGCGTTCAGATCTGCACTCTCTTTGCCTGGCTTCTTTTAACGAGAACTGGAACCGGGGTGACCCAGATTAGATGCCGTGATGGATCTATTGCTCGAATACTATACTACATTGCGTGTTCAGGCCCTCCAACGAGGCTTTCGTATCCGATTTCTGAGGCAAGTCTGGTTGATTGTCTGTCGCCCACACACCGCGGGTTGTACACGGCCCGTTTCACGGGCGGCATGCTTGTGAATATTGGACAGTCCTGCGGTGGCCGGTCCGGCATTGTGGGTGCGCCATCTATAGTCCAGAAAGTGATGGACAAGAAGATCTTTTATTAGTTTAGGAATTACAAAGTCCCCGGAGGGATAAGTCCTATAATTAGATTTGAAACGGTCTGTGATGGCCTCTTGCTAGGGCCATCCTGTAACCGGACAAGACGATCACTGATAAGGATGCCATTGAAGAGACCATGTTGACACGTTGCCATTTTGGTTCACAGACTCATCCTAGAGTCCTTCACCATGAGACCCAGGGCAGCCATTGTCACGTAGCCACTGGATCACGTCTCTTTTGCCGGCAGCTCTAAATGTCTGCTCATCCCATGGACAACCATTTTCACGAGCCCACTTCAAAATTTCCAAATGTCCAGATCGAGCAGCATGGGTACATGTCCCTGCATCCCAGGGACAACCATTCTCTCGTAACCACTTCAAAACATCCAAATGTCCTCCTTCAGCAGCTTGAGCACATGTTCGTTCATCCCATGGACACTCATTTTCACGAGCCCACTTTACAATTTCCAAATGGCCATTTTGTGCAGCATAATGACATGTATCTTCATCCCATGGACAACCATTTTCATGAGCCCACTTTAGAATTTCCAAATTCCCATTTCCAGCAGCAACGGCACATGTGTGATAATTCCATGGACAACCATTCTCTCGTAACCACTTCAAAACCTCCAAGTGTCCACCTGTAGCAGCACGTGTACATGTATACTCATCCCATGGACAGCCATTTTCACGAGCCCACTTTAGAATTTCCAAATTCCCATTTCCAGCAGCATAGCTACATGTCTGCCAATTCCATGGACAACCATTTTCACGAGCCCACTTCAAAACCTCCAAATGCCCATTTGCAGCAGCATAATGACATGTATATCCATCCCATGGACAACCATTTTCACGAGCCCACTTCAGAATTTCCAAGTGGCCACCTTCAGCAGCACGAGCACATGTATATCCATCCCATGGGCACCCATTTGCATGCAGCCATTGGAGCATTTCCAAATGTCCATGTTGAGCAGCTTTAGCACATGTATTTACATCCCATGGGAATCCTTGTTGCCGTGCCCATTTCATGACCATAATATTTCCAACTGCGGCAATGGCAGTGCAAACAAGACGATCGACAGGTTTCTTATGGTCGGAATTATCCTTGAGCCAGTATTCTGCACGGGGTAGATTACAGAATGTTTCACTGCAAAGAGTGTCGGTGATTTCTGCAGAGCGCCTGACAGAATAATCTCCAGGGTTAGACTTAACCTTTCTTGGATTTTTGTTGAGTTCAACTTTGCAGTACTCTTTGTATAGTCGATTCATCTTCTTGTTGACAGCCCCCACGAAAGCATACTGTCCAACACCAATAAAAGGGAGAATGCCTTGGATCGAAAGGCCGTCATCAGTGGCTGACAGAAGAGGAGATTCTGTACTAGTACATGTACCGGTAGTACCCTTGGCATTATTAGTGGCAGTATTCATGGTGCTTTTATCTGCCATGGTTGTGGATAGCAATCTAGCTAGCTAGCAAGTAACCGATAAGAGCTCAAACTTCCCTGCTCTTTAAGGTAAAACCCATACAGTATGGACTGGGCAGCGGTAATCTGGCAGGGAGGCTGCCGCACCGGTAGCCACTTTTGGACTAGCCAGCTTTAGCTCGCTAGCTAGCTAGCTGGCTAGCTAGTAAGTAGTAAGGGGTATGCTTTGGGTTCGGGGTTCAATTCGATTCGATTCGATTCGATTGATCATTCATTTGAATGAATAGAAATTGCATCGCACCGAATATCTCTTCGAGTTTCTCTGTGTAGGCTGACTGACTCTCTTACGGAACACTACTGTACATGTAAAGTGTCCGAGCCTTCCGTTTGGCTTCGAAAAGCGGCAATGGTTAACATTGTTGCAACAAGTAAGTGAAGCTCACAATCATTCATTCAACATGAGAGTTCCTGCTGAACAAGCTACTAGTACGGCAGCTGCCCCTTCCCCAACTCATGGCACTACTGGTAGTAGTACTGTCTCTACCAATGGTAGCCAGCCCAAGCCCAAGCCCAAGCACAGTAGTAGTAAGCCACTGAAGAGTGTGAAGAAGAGCATGAAGCACGCAGCGTCGTTACTGATTCCTTCGGACCATGACTACCGTTGGGAAGAGTTGCAAGAGATTGAGAAACGACGACGCGCGATTTTGCAGAACGTGGAAGAACCAACGTGGAAAGTGTTGCTTCACTGGGACGGCACGGTGCTGCGCATTCTAGCTTGGAATCCACTGCTGTGGATCACCATGGCGACCTATGTCTGCGTGCGGCTGTTTGCCAGGGATCTCATTCCAGAGTACATGGGCCAAATGACGTCGGATAGTATGACGGTGCTGGGCGGATTCTTGTCCTTCTTTCTCGTCTTTTACGTCAATCAGAACCACAAGCGCTTCTTTGGACTCTACAGCGATAGCATGGCGTGCAAGGGACGCATCTTTGATGTCGCCACTCTGGCGGTCAACACTCTGCCCTTTCAACAAGCGCACAGGCTTGTCAGGTACATGAATGCTGCACATGCTGCAGGATATGTAGGACTCAGCGAAATATATCCAAGCAAGTCCTACTTCAAACACATCAACCAACACCTAGGATTGCTCACAGAGGAGGAACAAGCCAGATTGAATGACATCAACCTAGACATGGGAGGATCCTGTAACCGAGAAATCATTGTCTGGTGCATTCGAGAAATTCAAACAGCAAGGGTAAGACAGGCCGATGGACATGATTGTGGATTCTCATTCATTCAATCACTCACTCACTTTGTATACATTATTTACCAGGCCAAAGGACTGCTAGATCCGGAACTTGCCAATCAATTTCGAGAGCAGATCCTCAAGCTGCGAGCCAGCCTTGGAAAACCATACGATGCCAAAGATCTTCCCATTCCCTTCTTTTACGTACATTTCATTTGCCTCTTGACAACCTTGTACTTGCCTCTATTTGCCGTCACATCCGCCATGGAAGCAGGCACGGGAGAAGAAACACATTGGTCGGCTGGAATCATCAAGGGACTCGTCGTACTCCTGCAAGCCATTTTCGTCATTGGGTTGCGTGTTCTGGGACAGAAAATGAGTGATCCATACGGAGATGACTTGATAGATTTGTCCGTCATGTACTACGTACACTTTACATGGACACATTCCAATCGCATTCTAAAGAGCCACTTTCCAGAAGAAGCATCCACACTGGTGGAAACGGATCTCGTAGAACAGAGACCAGAGTCGGTCGGAAAAGCCTGGGAACCACAAAAGGAAACACAACAATCCACTACCGGGACGGCCACTGCCACGGATCACCACAGTGTCTTCACCACCAGCACTGACAGCTCCAACATCTGCAGTAGGATTATCCGCAATCCGCAAATCAAGTCATTTGTCTAGCTAGTAGCTAGACTACGGTTCGGTATACCGGGTAGATAGCTAGAGAATGAATTCGACACTGACTGAGCTCTCACCGCAAATACTATGCATATCATAGCTAGACCTAGCAGTCCAAGCGGAACCAACCTACCGTACCGTACATGACGTCCAGGTGAGAGGGATACGGTAGCTAAAAAGTCATCGATGGATCCGTTGCTCGACTTGGCTCGCTGCCATGATGGAGACGTACTAGCTATAGAGCTTGGAAAGAAATCGATCAGTAAAAAGTTGTTGCTCGACTTAAGTCTTTTCGATTGATTTTAAATCTTTTAGTCCTGATGTCGTAGTTCGGATAGTTGGACCCGGAAATGCGTTTGGTTTTAGTTTTACAAACAGCAAACAGCAACAACCACTGCGGCCACAGATATTACTACTAGTAGTACCCTGCTGCCAATAGCAGCACCATGAATACTATTAATGATACTAAGACCAACAATGAAGGTACTACTACTAGTAGTACCGACTCACCTCTTCTGTTTGCGGATGATTTAGTTTGGAGTGGCCAGATTCTATCGTTTGTGGTTGCTAGTACCGGTACTCCTTCTGCAGCTGCCAATAGCAGCACCGCTAATAACAATAAGAAACAGAAGATGTCTCCTCCCTTCGAATCTCTTTTGTTGGCTGATGACGGCCTTTCGATCCAAGGTATTCTCCCTTTTATTGGTGTTGGACAGTATGCTTTTGTAGGAGCTGTGAACAAGAAGATGAATCAACTGTACAAAGAGTACTGCAAAATTGAACTAAAGAATAATCCAAGAAAGGTTAAGTCTAACCCTGGAGATTATTCTGTCAGGCGCTCTGCAGAAATCACCGACACTCTTTGCAGCGAAACATTCTGTAATCTACCCCGTGCAGAATACTGGTTCAAGGACAATTCTAGCAACAAAAAGCCTGGTCGCCATCTTGTTTGTGCTGCCATTGCCAAAATTGGAAATATTATGGTCATGAAATGGGCACGGCAACAAGGATTCTATTGGAGTGAAAATACATGTGCTGCAGCGGCTAGAAATGGACATTTTGAATTACTCAAATGGCTGCATGCAAATGGCTGTCCATGGAATGCATGGACATGCTACAATGCTGCTTCAAATGGACATTTCGAAGTTTTGAAGTGGGCTCGTGAAAATGGTTGTCCATGGAGTGCATATACATGTCCTCACGCTGCTGAAAATGGGCATTTGGAGATTTTGAAGTGGGCTCGTGAGAATGGGTGTCCATGGAATGCAGACACATGCTCAAGTGCGGCTAAAAGTGGCCATTTGGATATTCTGAAGTGGGCTCGTGAAAATGGTTGTCCATGGAATTGGCAGACATGTACAGTTGCTGCTGAAAGTGGACATTTGGAAATTTTAAAGTGGGCTCATGAAAATGGTTGTCCATGGGATGAACGGACATGCGAGAAGGCTGCCGAAAATGGACATTTGGATGTTTTAAAGTGGGCACATGAAAATGGTTGTCCATGGGATGAAGAGACATGTCAAGAGGCCGCCGAAAATGGACATTTGGATGTTTTAAAGTGGGCTCATGAAAATGGTTGTCCATGGGATGAAGGGACATATCAAGCTGCCTGCATGAATAACCACAGCGAAGTGATCCAGTGGCTACGTGACAATGGTTGCCCTGGTTCTCATGATGAAGGACACGAAGATCATTCATGGTAAGGTGAGAAATCGAATCAAAAGTAGACAATGCGCATGTCTATCCTTACCTTAGCTAGCTATTGGCTCTGGTTGCGTCGGCCACTCAGAACAGTCGCAATTTCCGTATAGTAGCTATAGTAGCAGCCACTAGCTAGCCTGTAGAGGCGTTTTGGCGCTCGGTGAATGAGGAAGTGTCATGCTGGCTTTGCGGAACAAAAGGGAGTGAATTTGGTCAAGAAATGACAGAAACGTTTAGAAATCTGGGATTTTGGAAGTCTTCCATGCATGCATTCAGAAGCATCCGCTGCTAAAAATGGCCTACAATCTGGGAACCTCTGTGGTTGAGTCCTACTGTAAATTGTTTTCTATAAGAAAATTTTATGAAATTTCAAGTTATGGATTGCCAGAACCAGTGCTGGGTGTTTGTGGTCGTTGGGGTGTGAACTCCCTGCTTGTCGCAGTAGTGGCAGGAGTATCCAGAGAGACTCCTCTTTCAGCCTTGTTGCTTGCAATGGATCGTCCCCGAACTTCCAGGTCGGTGGTCCACAAAATACCTGCAGTTGCATAGAAAATTCCGTTTTGCGGCTTGGCTGACCACACCGCTCCCTCGGTCAACGCTTGCAGAGACATATTGTCAAACACATCGAAAAGTTCCTTGATGTGAGGAGTCACCCCATCAAACATAAAGTCTGAGTCAAAGTAGAGACGTTGACTGTATCGACTGTCCGTAGGATTGGGAATGAACTCTGTCGTCAGCAATGTCAAGTCATGCCCAATCAATGTCGTTTCGTCAGAGTTTTCGTATTGCTCAGATATAAGACCAAAGAAATAAACCTCCAAGGCAGATCGAAGGCCTTCATACTCTTCAGGTTCTGGTAATCGATCTGTGTAGCCAGGATAGTTGATGTAGAACTGGATTTGGTACCTCATTCTCACCAAGCCCTCTGGTGTCGGAGACATGGTTGGCGCTGATGTGACAACGGTAGCCTCGGTGGGTGTTACAGTTGGAATCGACGTAATACTGGTGGACGTGGGAGCAGCTGTCGTGGCGGCAGCACTCGAGGGAGAGCTTGTCGTCGCTTCTGTTGGAGCGGCGGTGAAAGGAGTTCCTTCTGCAGGCGCACTGGAGGTTGGAGACGCTGTACTAGAAGGAGCAGTAGTAGGCGACATTGCGGCGCCCGTAGGAGAAGCAGTGGCCACAGACGACGGATAGGTAGTGGTAGAGACCGATGGAGAAGCAGTGGCGACAGACGACGGAGAGGCAGTAGCAGAAGCCGATGGAGAGGCAGTAGTAGAAACAGATGGAGAGGCAGTGGTAGAAACCGATGGAAAGGTGTTGGTAGCAGACGATGGAGAAGCCGTGACCACGGAGGGAGCTTCTGTCGGACTGGAAGTGGCCACGGTTGCAGAAAGCGACTCCGAAGGAGCATCCGATGGTATACCGGTAGCCGCTGAGGAACCCGATGGTGAGGAGGTCACTGTACCGGTAGGAGGAAGCGTAACTGAAACGTCTCCGCCAACTTCACCAATTGTAGGCATCGTTGATGGTGAAGTAGACGGAGACATAGATGGAGCACTTGGCGACAAAGTCGGTGCCAGAGTCCTGACAGCTTCAGGAGAGTTGGTGACCGCCGGTCCAAAATCAAACCAAAGAAGATCCGCTGTTCCGTTGCAGAAATTTAGCAGAAAGTGTTCTTGTTCGATTGGCACCCCCTGCTGGTGCTTGTCCCCATAGATCGGGATCGCCCCTCCAGCCGAAAACAGTTCGAAGTTTTCTTGCAGCTCGGTTGGAAGTCTAGGAAACGAGGGAAGTTCCCTTTGGATTATGTGCAGGTCAAACTCCGGGAAAATCTGCTTGGTGTACTTGTGAATGAACTTAACATACTCTTGCTTGTCAAGCATGTTGTTGTAGTTCTTATCTTCCAGCACAAGGTCCATCAGACACGCATTCATCAAGTCTGTGCTGTTCCAATTTTCTCCTCCGTTTGGTCTGCCCTCCGGCCTCTCTCTGTTCGGTCTTGACACTCCATTGCCCACATTCACGTAGAATTGGGGATGGTACCCAGTGGACTGCATCACCTCTGATCCATCTGAAGACAAGGTGGCAACATAGAAGACAGTCAAAGGGGTCCAGCCGTCGGCGGCAGGATCTTCAGCAAGGACAACGCTCTTTACAGCTTCGTTGAAGTCTGAACTGAACTGAGTCGAGAATATACCCAGCAAAGACGCAAGATCCATCTGCAGCTGTCTGGCTCTTGCATTCGAGACTGCATCGTTCCCCGGCGCAGCGAGGAACAATGGCTCCTTGGGGTTGCATCCGCTGCAGCTCACATTGGCCTTCCACGTAGTGTCCACATAAGGGTTTCCGTCTCCTCGTTCCTCAAATGAGTAAGAGAGAAGAGTAGCATTGTGAACAATTCGTTTGAAGACACCTTCGCACATTCCTGAGACTGAATTGTAGGCGTCTTTGAAAACCGCTTCCATCACTTCCGTGTTGCCTTTGTCGGTGAAGCTAATAAGTTCCGGAGGAACGTTTTCAACAAGCAGGTTGATACGGCCTTCTTCATAGGTGAAGACTTCGCCATTATCAGTGGCACAAATAGGTTCCTCGACGACGTTGGTGGAGTTAGGGGTAGCATCTTGCGCAGTGGACCCGTTCTCTTGATCAAAGATGTTATTTTCACCACCACCCGCAACGGTCTCTTGGTTGAGCTGGTCTGGGCCGAGATTTTGACTCAGCTTTGGGTTCAGCCACTCGAAGTCCTTTTCTACAGGAACACCACCGGTAATCTTTTGCCCCGTGAATTCCACAATGGTGCTTGGGTCAACGGTTGACATGCTGGCGCCATAGAAAGCGTCAATCAGGTCCACCCCGTTTCCCATGAGATCGTTCATTTCTTTCGTCATGTTTGCCACAAAGCTCTTGAGAAACTCCGCGTTCTGAAGCCGTCGTCGCAAGAGTCTTCGATATGTCTCGAGGAACAGAGGTTCCGGATCCATGCACCCGTCGCACAGGACATCTGACGTCCAATTGGTATCTGCGTACTTGATTTCCCCTCGAGTTGAATCGAATGCAGTCATGGGCTCGCAGTCCACGAGGATGGCACCCTGCATGACACGTTGAAACAATCCATCGCAACCATGTCCAACGCGATTAAACACAGCTCGAAAGACGTCTTCCAATTGCGCCAAGGAATCTCCTTTCTGCAGCATTTTGCAGTCTAAGTTTTCAATCATCATGTGAACATTCCCAGTTTCTGTGGTTTGCGACGGGGTTTCTTTGCAAACCGGAACGACATCATCATAGATGGGTCTTTGATGGGACGCAACACCTGCCTGTTCGAGGATATCTTGGGTGACATTAATGTCGCTAAAGGGTGACCCGTTTTCAACTGAACCCATTCGTTCCACTAGTTCCCCATCAAGAGGCGAGATTGTGTACCCATCAAACACGACCACCTTGTTTTCTTGCGTTGCGGCATTGTCAGCTCCGTGGACCACTGTGGTGAGCGCTTGACTGAGATTGGATGCAAAGGCTAGTAGGAACCAAGCCTCCTGTTCATTGACAGCAGCTGTTTGAAGCTCCCGTCGCGTGACACGATCCTTGTCCAATGCCGGCACAGGCAACGCACTGCTTCTGGCAGCTGCCGTGGTAGTTGATGGGGGAGTTTCCAAAGACCCAGCTCCAGGACCACCAGAAACGGCAGAATCACTCCCACCGTACAAGGCGGCTGCCTGGCTGTCGTAATCCTCGGCGCGAATGTAAAAGAGTGGTTCGATATCCGGACAAGCTCCATTGCACCAAACAGATGTTGTCCAGTTGGTTCGGAAGTAGTTGTTGATCTGCTCCCAATCATTTTCATTCAACGTCGCCGACTCGAGTATTCGCTGATAGGTGCCTTGACATTCCCCCGAGACTGTGTTGTAGATGCTGGCAAAGCTCTGTTCAGCCTGTTGCCGATTGACTGGATCTGCCAGCCAGGATGAGTTTGTGATTCCCTGAATGTAAAGCACAACATGACCTTGCTGCAGCAGTGGTTCGACGTTTGCGTCACACTGCCACGCGACCGGCGCCAACTGGTTGTTTCCACGGTTAGTGGTTGTCACGGCAAGTGTTGCCGCGACGGCTCCCGCTCCCATGACTCCCGCCGCGACAGCCACAGCCGTGAGAGCCCCTCCACCGGCCGTGGAAGCGCCCGCTGTGGCCATGGAATTGGCTCCTTGTGCGGTACTGGCGGCAGCATTTTGTGCCGCCGAGACTGCCATCTGTTGTACGACGGCTTGTTGTGGAGGAGGCGCATTTCCCTGTCCAGTTGTGCCCCCGCCGCCGATAGCTCCATTGTTGTTTGCCCCCGCCGCATCACCGGCCAAGTCTGCCCCCGCAGCTTCTAAATCGTCATCTTTTTGACAACAACGACAACATCGTTCAATGAATTTCATGAGTGCCATCATTCCTAGAAAGTTGCAAAGAACCCAGAATAGTGAGCTTCGCACTGCCCCTTCTCTTGCTTCGGCACTGTCTCGTTTATCGGGTCCTTCGTCATGATAGCTGTCTGACACTTGACTCATGGTATCATCCTTGTCGTCTTCATCGCCGTCGTCATTGTCATTTCGAGTATGTACTGTCTCGGACAAGCCCTTGTCCTTGTTGGTATTGTTGTTGGTGGTGTCGTTGTCCTTTTTGTCCTGACTGTCAGCCTTGTCTTTGGTGTTGTTGTTGATATCTTCCTCTTGCATGACGGCCAAGAAGTCATTGGCCATGGACTGTTGCCATTGCTCTCGTTGTTTGTCTAGATCGGTCTTGTTGTCCTTGTTCTTGTCGTTTTCGTCTTGTTTGGGAGTACCAGTAGTAGCTGCAGCTGCTGCTGAGGCAGTGTTTGTTTGTGCACTACTTCTTCGTTTGGTGGCAGCCTCGGCGTCCGCGAGTGCCTCACTGGTAGCACGTAGAACGGCCACGGACATGGCCGCCTTTGGAACGGCCCCCTTGAGTGCGGCAATGGCGGATTGGGTCTTTGCCGACGACGTTCTTCGAGGCGGTACAGTGTCAGTAGAATTAGTATCTTGTTGTTCCGTACTACGAGTAGTACTAGTATCACTGTTTCGTTTGGCAGCTGCCTCTGTTTCTTGTACAGCTTGTGTGGTGGCTCGGATAGCGGCCATGGCAGTCGCTGCTGTGGGCACGGCCTTTTTGAAAGCTGCAATGGACTGTCGGGTCTTGGCTTTGGAGGGTTTGTCCTCCTGCTTGGTTTGTTTGGTTTGTTTTGGTGGAGGCGGGGGCATGTAGTTTTCCAGTCGTTGCAGTTCAGGATCAAAGACCTGACTCAAGTTCATGCTCATTTCCAACTTGTCCAAGCTGTTGTTATTATTGGCGTTGTTGGTACTGGTGGTAGTTGCACTTGGAGTGGATCTTGGTGGTGGAGGTCCTGTAGGTTCCATCATACTATTAATACTCATGGACATATTATGGAAGACAAAGTCTTCTAGACTGGCACTGCTGGAGCCTAGATTGGGAACAGAAGCTGCCATGGATGATTGATGTTCCTTGCTTCTGTGTCTTCTAGGCTTGGATCTTTTCTTGTGGCTCTTGTGACTCTTACTGCTCTTGTGGCTTTTGCTGCTTTTGGAGCTCTTTTGGCTCTGGTTGCTGTTGATGCTGCTCATACTGCCGTGGTGCTTGTTCTTGCTCTTGCTCTTGTTCTTGGATGAGGTCTCTTCAGTCTTAGCACTAGTACTACTACTAGTGCCACTAGGCTTATAGCCAGTGTGCAAGCTATCATCCAGCTCTTGAGTTTCCTCTACCTTGGCCAGTACAGAGGCTCTATACAGTACATAGAAAGATAGATGTGTTCGATGCGTAGACAAAGATATAAAAAGTGAGGGCGCGCCAATCGTTTTTTGCGGAAAGCTAAAAAATTCAAATCTGACGTCAAGTACTGGTTGTACGTGTGACTTACGAAGGATAGGATCTCATGATGAAGGAATCACTGAGAGTGGCGGGATTCACCACGGCGTGTTGCGCCATGGGATGGAAGGCGGCAACACCAAGATCAACACCAAGATCTTCCAAGCTGTCATGGCCGCTCTTACTACCGGTAGTACTAGTACTAGTACTAGTAGTAGTTGCTGTTGTTGGTGTAGCGCTACTACCGGTACGAGGTGGTGCTGTAGTAGACGGACCGCCATGGTCGAAGAGAAAGTCGACAAAGCTGCGATTGTGATCTCCGTGACGCGCACTGGCACTTCTCTCGTCGTCCAAGTCTTCCAACGACTCTTCGTCTTCGTCGTCCAATCGGTTGAAACTCTCGTGCCAATTCTTGATGGAGTTGCTGCGGGACGCCATGGTGATCTTCTTCTTCTAATACTGGTAGTTTACTGGCGCCTTTGTCTTGTTGGTGAATTGGTTGGCGAATTGAATTGAAAGTTTGTTGATGCTTGTTGTCTTCGTGTTTCCATGCACCAAGCAGTCATCGAGATTCAAACTTCCACCTCGTTCTTTTCGAAGTTCATGTGCTGGGTAGGTGACAATGAAGAATTAAAGTTTCTGTAAATTCTGTATCCTACCGTAAACCCTTGCCACGTTTCAATTAACAAAATGACCTTCACAAGCCTCAAGGGAAACCAAGTATGACTTCTGACAGCTGACACACGATTGAGATAATAAGCCCCAAACACTCTCACAATTTCAATTCGGACGCCCTCTTCCCAGCCACACCATCAAACCAGGCTTCCCCATTCAGACCAAGCATCTACGATCTCGATTGCTTCCTTCCCTTTCCCAATGGTACAACCAAGCAACCAAAGCCAGGAGACACATGGAATGGTTGATGGTTCCGAGTTTGAATTCTTTCTAGATCTTTCTTTGTTTCACAGAGAATCCACACCGGTTTGCTACAGCATGTATGTATGTGGTACCGGTAGCTAGCTAGCTAGCTACACAGAGCGACAGATAGATAGAAAAGATGCAGCCATGGTTGCCACAGCCAAACTTGCTACTACTCCAGTAGCTACTAGCTAGCTAGAAACAACCATCCTCCCCAGGAAGATGCATACCGGTACCCAGCCCGATTGTGCTTCTCGTAGGCTTCGGGCTGTACCCTACCGGTACCCTACCAGTAGCAACAATGCCCATTAGCAAGCTAGCTACCGACATAGGTGTAGTACTAGCTAACCAAATGCACAAACACGCTCTCTTAGCTTCCTTCTACTATTGACTAGACTAGCTAGCTGGTTCTTCCTCGTTTGTTGCCTGGACTGCGGGGCCGTAGCTGCACCCAGCCAGCTACTAGCCAGCTCACAAGTCCAAACAGAAATGACTGGCAGTTTGGTACCAGTACTAGTTCACCATTAGATCCAGTTGGGTGGACTGGACTCCACTCTACTCGACCAGACTTCTAAAGATTCAATCCAATACTTAGTTTGGACAGCTGTTTGGACAGGGTTGCTTGTAGAGACGCAGCATGTGCGCTCGACTGAGACTCGTCCAGTGCAGACAGGCATGTCCGTGAGTACAAGTAGCTACATGTACAACTAACCAAATAACTAACTGAAGATTCAATCAATCTAATACATGTAATAGTTATGACGCTTTCTGAACTTGACTGTCACTCCAACCGTAACACGAGCGATGATTTGCCCCACATCGCACAATCCGAGTGACGTGACAGTCGAGTCCACGCAGCAATAATCAAATAATCAAATGAATAAACGAACTGCATGCGCTTTAGCCGCGGTCGGCATTCAAAGCAGCAACACCCAACACGTTGTCAAAGATCCAAATATCTTGACCGGGTTCGGGATTTAGAACCCACAAGCTCTCACCAAACGCCTTCAAATCGAAACCATCAAACTTCTCAAAGACAACACGGGGAGTGGGTTGGTCGCCTCGGAACACAAAATCAGAACTGGTAAATGCCACCAAGTTGTACTCCCGGTCTGTTGTGATCGCGCCTTCAAAGTACTCTTTGGAAACAAAACGAGTTTCCAAAATGGAATCAAGGTTGAACGCGGTATCTAAGGAATACGCTGAGGCCATGTTCGCTGAGAGCCAGTCGTTGATGCTGGTTGCCAGGTCTTGGTATTCTTGATCTGTGGCATCACGATCATTCGGGTCCATGTTGAATTGCCATTCAACTTGAATATTCACAATGCGAGTCTCGGTGGGAGCGGCACTCACAGACGGAGACGACGAAGGAGGGATAGTAGGCGACGCTGTGATGGGAGCCAAGGAGCTTGGAGTGCTTGTGCCAGGAGCAGTCGGTTCTCTGGTGGGTGCCAATGTTGTCGGCGCCGCTGTGGGAGGTCCTGTAGTTGGCGACGCTGTCGTGGGAGCATCTGTAATGACAACGCCCTGGATGTTGTCCCGGATGGCATGGCTGGTGTAGTAACAGATCGCCTCCAATCGAATGATTCGAGCTTCTTCTGCTGCAAAGTCGGCTGGAGTCTTCTTACCGAACTCCATTTCGCCTCCCTCGGCAAACGTCTCATAGTTGTTCTTCACATCCACTGGCAAATCATTGTAGTTGCCAAGACTCTGCGGCCAACTTTGGCCTGGATTCATCGAAAAAAACAGAGCCTTCACAAAGACAAAGTATTCCTCAGCCTTCAAGCCATGGTCCCGAGGAATAGCGTCGGAATTCTTCAGGTCTTTTTCGCACACTTCCACAGAAATAATCACATCGTCTTTTGCACGAATCACGTCGGCGGCATTGTTGGATTGGAAAATGTTGGTGTGGACGGCTGTTCCCACTGTGTGGTGGACCTGTCCACTGCGATCGTACGTCGCAGCGTAGGCGATCTCGATCGGCCTGTACTGACCATTGGGGTCACTCGATTCAAAGAGCTTGGCGCCATCCTCGTAGTATGGTGTGGTGGTGAAATCAGCCAGCAAGGCGTTGACCTCGGTCGTCAGTTTCGCCTGGAAACGCTCAAACAAAGCTTCTTGCAAAAACCGACGAGCAGCACCTGTTGGCGATTGCATGAACAGGGGCTCTTGCAGGCCGTCACAATCGGTACAAGTCATTTTTGTGGTCATGTTCATGTCAACAAAAGTTTCCCTGTCGTCCACCACTACCTGCTCCATTTGGTCAATCGTCAATCGATGTGCCACCCGCTGCAAGGGTCCGTCGCACATCTCTGTGATTTCATTATAGATATCTTGCATGACCGCTTCCAGAATGGTCTTGTTCATGTCCTTGACAAGGTGCTTGATTGACAACTGAAACTTTCCTTCTTCGAGAGCATCAATATCAGGAGGTGGCTCCATCGTAGCACAATCGACCAAGACTCCTTGTGGGATCGCAAACGGACTGGTCGTCTCTCCGGCTTCATCCATGACAGCAAGGTTTTGATCCAAAGAAGCAACATAATAAACATTCACCGTGCCCTCTGGGTTCCCCTTCTTGTACTGAAACGTCAAGGCTGCAGCAAAAGCATTGGCAAACTTTGCCAGTTGCGTGTCGGAGGCAATCTCCAGGCGACGTCCAGCTCGGTCAGCACTGCTTGGGCTTCCATGGACCAAAAAGAGAGGTTCTTGATCGTCGCATCCATCACAGGACACAATGGCACTAAAGTTGCAAGCCATCATGACCTGCCCTTGCTCTCGCCATTCATTGCAACTCAGGACATCGGCTTTCTCCACGACTCGACTGTAGGTACCGTCACAAGCTTTCATCTCATCGTTGTAGACCGATCGAAATTCTTGCTGAACAATGTCGGCTTTAGAATCGAAGAAAGACTTTTCGACGCCATGAAATCTCATTTTGAGGTAACCCTCTTTGAGTTCCAGGGTGGGCGAAGGCAATCCATTGGGAAGCGTGCACGTGGGCATTCCAAGAGGTCGATCAATTGCTCCGCTGGCCCCTGATCCCGACACCAACTGCGCATACACGAACTTTGTCCCTTCCGTTTCTACAATGGTGACGGAGTCGTTGGTGGCTCTGGACTCTCCATAAAACACAGATGGTATTTGGACCTTGCCATTGCCCTTGCCGTTGAGCTTGATGAGCAGATTTTGTAGTTCTTGGGCAAAGGTATCCATAAAGAGTTGCAAGTTGGGCTGACCTCCACCGCCGGTTTCCTCCAACCACCGATCAATGGGATCGTCCAGCATGAGCAGTCGTCGTGAAGGCAACACGAGAGAGCTATTGGCGTCCGGTGGAGGTGCTTCTGGTCGATCTCCTTCGTAAAACAACGGTTCTAGCTCACTGCACCCTTTTGACTTTCCCTTGTTGTCCACATCATCACAATTGACAAATGCCAGCCATTCTGTTGTGAAGAAAAAGGTCTGCTCGCCTGTGGCCTTGTCAACGGTCTTCCAGTAATCCCATCCGTCGAGAGTTGCATTTTCGAGGTATCGCGCGTAGACTCCCGTTCCAACATCCCAGTCATCAGTGGAATTGGTGTCATTGTGTCCTGCGACTGTATGTTCGAGACACACTCCAATAGCGTTGTTGAAGGCTTCGGCGAATGCCGTCTCCACGGCGGGTGTGTTCTTGTTGACACTGAAAAAGTTGTGTGGCAAGCCATCGAGATGCAAGTTGACATGTCCCGGACGAGGCGTCATGTCGGCAATGAATTCGTGGCATGGATGCTTGGGTGGAACCACGAAGGGATTGGGTAGTACACCGGTGGCCATTCCCACCCCTGTGACGGTAACAGCCGAGACTCCGACCAAACTAGCGGACGATGAAACGGAAACGAGGGATGCGGAAACCGCTGCGGCAGAGACGGCTGCAGCGGATGCTCCTCCTGCCGCAGTACTTGCCGCCGCTCCCTGTGACGCTGCCACAGCCATTTGTTGTGCCACGGCGGTATTAATGGCTGTTTCGGTTCCGGGCACTGGTGCCGGAGGCGCTCCTGCTTGCACGGCATGCACCACGTCTCCTTCATCCACCCCCGCGTCATCCGCATTGCCAAACTTTCGACACAAGAACGCAATGAATTGAACGATTGCGAGAAGCCCGCAAGCCGTCAAGATTCCAATGCAAAACTGCATTCTGACTTTTTTCTCTGTTTGTACCGCTTTTTCATCGGCATCCAATTCTTCGTCGTGTTGACTGACAGAGACATCTTCGTCGTCTTCAGGTTCGTCCTCGAAGGTCTCTGTTGGTTTTTCTTCTTCCTTTTTCTTCTTCTTCTTCTTTTTAGGTTTTTCGTGTCCGGCATTAAAGTCTTCGTCGAACTGGTTTCGTACGGCTGCCGAAATGACAATGGGTTCTCCAACGGGCACTCCTTCAGCCACGACGGGAGTACCATCCGTTGATGGTGGAGGAGGAGGAGTAGCCCCCGTTGATGGTGGTGGCGGCGGCGGTGGAGGCTTTGCTCCCGGCAGCCTTGCCGATTGTGCTCGTTTCATGTTGCTTCGTGCCGATTTTGGTGCATGCGTGGAGGAACTAATGGCCATGCTTTGATTACCAAACGATGTTGGTGGTGGCGGGGCACTGGATCCAGTGGGAAATCTTGCCGACTGTGCTCGATTCATGGTGATGCGCGCGGGAATGGGATTGGCGGCGGTGGGAGCACTGGGAGGCGGCGGCGGTGGTGGGGGTGCCTTGCTTGTGGGGAATCTCGCCGACTGCGCTCGGTTCATGGCCATGCGTGAAGCACCTGGCTTTGCTTGAACAGATGATGGTGGTGGTGGCGGTGGAGGCGTGGCCCTACCGACAGCAGTCCCAGTGGGAAATCTCGCCGACTGTGCTCGGTTCATGGCCATCCGGGAAGATTTTGGTGGTGCTGGAGCTTGCATGAAAGTAGGCGGCGCCCTTGGTGCTGCTGCTGCTGCTGCTGGTGGTGGGGCATGCATGGACTTGGCTAGTCCCCTGGATGACGCGGCTCTCTGTTTGATGGCAGGTCTGTTAGTACTAGTAGTACTACCGGCAGTATGCTTGTGCGCCCCCCCAGTGCTAGAAGCCGAGGAGAAGGTAGGAGGGGGCGGGGGTGGACTCCCAGTAGGTAATACGCGTGCAGACTGAGCTCGCTGTGCCTTGGACATGCGAGGTTGCGCAGCGCTTCCGGGTCTTTGTATCTTCGCCATGGCCATGGGCGCCTTCTGCTTCTTTTTTTCTTGTCTAACTTGATCATAGTGCGCCAATTTCGAGGAGGACAAGTCCAGGTTTAACCCGGCATCTTCTTGGAGGACAAAGCTTGGCACACTGGCTGCAGGAGGAGGGGGCGGAACCGCGCCACCCCTAAATAAAACGGAATTTGACAAAAATGTGACAAAAAGTGAGCAAAAAACAAACAAAATATACCAAAAAGTATAAAAATGGACGAAAAACGCTCAAAACGACACCACCGTCGTCTCCTTTCTTTCGCAGCCCGCCAAAAGCAACTCATGCTCATCGTCAAGCTCATGGTCATGTACAGTCGTAGCCACTTACAGGTTTGACGCACTAGCACTAGCACTACCAGTGCCAGTACCAGTACCAGTAGTAGTAGTACTAGGAGCACCGGCGTATTCTGGCGCTTCTTCTGGAATCCACCATCTCTTCGCCTCCTCCGTCTTTTGCTCCTCCGACTTCTCCTTCTTCTTCTTGCTTCCTTTGCTGCTGCGGCTGCTGCGGCTGTGGCTTGACATCTTGCTTGGACTGTTTGTTGTTGCGCTAGAGTTGTCGCGGTCGCCTCGTTTGCTCGTTTGGCTTTTTGTTGGTCTTCGTCAAGTGTTCATGGGCCTCGAGATTTTCAAGTTGGTGGATTGTGACCAGCCAAGTGGCACTGTGGATTTTAGAGTACTCAATCGACGACTACACAATGACCACACTGAGTGCTCCTCTAAATCTGAGCATTCTATGGCATCCAAATTCACCAGTGTAGGACTTATTACATCCATTTTCTTTAACTATCCAGGATACGTAGTATTAACAAATGATGGTTCAACATGTTCCGGTTGAGTCGGGTTGAATAAATCCAGACATTCACCGTGCCCTTACCCTCTTTCACTCCATTATTGCAAGAGATGCCCCTCTAACCAGAGTCATTTTCACCCACCACCCTCTCAACAACGATTTACAACAAAGTCACAGCAATGAAAGGGCCCGAAATGGCCATTTACACCAAATTCCGATTTATACTTGTGTTTCGATTTTATATTTTGGTTTCGGTTTTATATTTTGGTTTCGATTTTATATTTAGGTTTCGGATTGATTTCACTAGTTATTTACCATAGTAATTTGGTTTCGGTTTTATATTTTGGTTTCGGTTTTATATTTTGGTTTCGGTTTTATATTTAGGTTTGGAATTGATCAATTTAATTGGATTCTTAAAATCCTGATTTCGGGCCCTTTCAATGGACACTCAAAGCCAGCAACAGCTGTCAAGGAGCTGTCAAGGCGGCCAACCATCAACCTGGGAGAGATCCAAGCATTCTTCAAGAGCACAGCTACATGTATCGAACGGATGTCAAGATACCGGAGTGAAAGCTAGCTACTAGCCAGAGTAGCTACTAGGATAGAAGTCCCAAAGAAGACGACGGCCGCGACAGCAAACCAAGAAACAATCAATCAATAGATAGTATATATATGTAATAGGTAGGATACACCTCGTTATCTTTTAAAAATGCTATCCATCACCTTGCAATGCAACCAAATAAAAGCCAAAGGTCAATTCAAACTCTCGAATCGAATCGAATCGACAGCAATGACATCCAAATCGCATCGCATCGCATCACGTCACATGTAGTAATCTTCACAAAAACATCAAATCTTGCAACGTTCGAAACGTCACCAAGAAGCAGCAATCTTACGCCATTGCTCTTCTTGGCTCATCTCGTTTCGTCTCGTCTCGTCTCTACTCTTCCTTATTCTTCCGGGTTGGCTTGCTTCAATGTGTTGCCGTAGCCACCCGTACAAGGACCACAGTAATCATTCGGATAGAAACGAATTATGTCCGTGTCCTCTTCCTTCACACAGAATGTACTGTAACCCTTAAACACACTGTAATGGCACACATACACCTTGCCTTCTTCGCCACACGGGAAATCAGAAGCACTGCAAAGAGGTCCCTCTGCAGGACCATCCTCTCCTTCCTCCAAGGGACCGCCCTCTTCTTCTGCGCCTCGTTCCGAAACAAGCTTATTCTCCTTGTCTTGTTGCTGTTGCTGTTGTTGCTGCTCCGTCTTCTTTTTGTGATTAAAGTTCGCCATGCCAAAGTGAGTAGACTCTACGTGAAGAGGCATGCCGCTGCCAACGCCGTCGCCGTCGCACAAGTCGTAGTGAGCCGCGATCGACAAATCGTCTATTCCACCACTCTTCACGCCAATACTTCCACTCAAATCAAACCAGAAACTCAAACGCAACTTCCCAGACACGTACACGTGAGATGGAAGGGTCAACGAAATTGCATACTGTCCTCCTTCTTCTTCTTCCTCCTTCAATGCACGACGAGACCAAACAATGCCATTCAAAGAACCACTCGGGTGAGCACCGCCCAAAACATCCACATCGGTCGATCCAATCGTCAGCAACAAACGATCATCAGATGGATCCCAAATTCCAAATTCATACAACTTGAAATCAACCGTCACCAAATCCGCATCAGTGGGCACCTCCGTGAACACCTTGGAGGCTCGAGGATTCTCCTCGCCAAAGCGGCCCAAAAAGTGACCCAACTCGGAATCATGTGAAATCAGACCGTTCGTCCATCCAAGGTCCACGCCAGATTCATAGTCTTCTTGAGCCAATGGTGAGACACGGTGGCAGTTGTCTTCCAGTTGACGAGCTCCCTCTTGGTCGCAGCCGCTGTAGTGAGCGGTCACCTTGATATCATCTATACCAGCACTCTGCTCATCAATATCCAAACTCGTCACTGCTCTAAAGGTAATCTCCAACGCTCCAGCGCTCGCAAACTTGGATGCAGGAATATCAATGTGGACAAAGTGCTTGGCATCATGGTCTTCCAAAAAGCCAAGATTGACACCCGAAACAGTCATGTTGCGGTACCAGGAAACTCCATCCACATCCTCCTCCAAATACTGACTCTCCGTGTCCATGGACATGTCTCCAAGACTAATCTGGGTGCCATTACTGGTACCAATCATTACCAAAAACGCGTCGTCCTCGCTGGTCCATCGGTCAATCTGGTACAGGGTGAATTCAAGCGTAACTCTGTCCGCAGAGACATCACCTGACAAGGGAATATCAAAGCTCTGAGATACTTCTTCCTTGCCTTGGCCAAGACGACCCAAAAAGTGACTCATCAGAGCTGACTCAGAGGTAATGCCGCCAGACCAAGAATACTCAAATCCTTCATGCCAGCTTTCCTCGTTCTCCTCAGCTTCAAAGTCTTCATCCAAAAGGACTATCTCAGATTCACAGCCAGCGCCAGCAGTGGCAATGGGCGGACAGTCACAGTCAATAACAAAGTCAAACCAACCATAGCTTCCGCCATCACTTGTATGACCTCGATACTCTTCCGCAAAAGCAACCAGCTCTGTATCCGGAGCTATAGTTCCATCATCTTGCAACTGAGCCATGGTAAAGTGAGCCAGCACCTTGAGGTCAAAAGTGCCCAGATCCTCACAGTTGTAAGACCATTTCATTTCCACAAATTCCTTCACAGTACTGAGTCCCGTGGAATTGCACCAGAAATAGGGAAATTTCTCAATGTCCAGTGAGTCATCCTCATCCACGGGAATGTCATCAATACTCTCTCCAATCCAATATTCAGAAGAGACAAAGGTCCAACCTCGTGTTGCTGTGAAAGAAACCTCAAAGTCTTCCCCATTGAACACCTCAAAGCACATGCTACCTGCCACAAACGAATTGTTGGCAAGAATGTCATAGCACTCTTTCCTGGATCCATCACTTGTATCAATGCATATCTCAGCATCATCAGCTGTAGGCGCAGGGGTTGGTGGCAGTGACAGAATGGATTCAGGGCAGTCACAGTCAACAATAAAATCAAACCAACCAAAGCTTCCTTCACTGCTTTGGCTCAAATACTCTTGAACAAAGGCAAGAAGTTCTGTGTCCGCATCAACAGCTCCATCTTCTTGAAGCTGAGCCAAAGTGACTTGTGTCATCATGTGGAGCCCAAATTGTTGCATTTCTTCACAGTTGTAAGACCACTTGAAGTCAATGCGGTCCACAACAGAGGTCACCCCACTGGAGTTGCACCAAAAGTAGGGGAAGTTCTCACTATCCAGAGATCCATCGTCTTCCTTGGGAATGTCTTCAATGTTTTCTCCGATCCAGGATTCATATGAAACAAACACCCAGCTCTCAGCTGCTGTAAATGTAACTTCAAGCACTGAAGGGCCAATAATCTCCAAACACATTGTTCCGCCCACTGATGTCTGATTCGCCATGATTTGATAGCAGTCCTTGCTCGACTGGTCATCTGTCTCAATACAAATCTCACCCGGAGTTGTCCTGTCAGTGACATTGGTGGTCACATTTGGTGGGCACTCACACATGATGTCTACATCATACCAGCTGTACAAGCTGCCAACATCTTGATTCTCATAGACATAAGCAACGATCTCCGAATCCTTGTCCACAGCACCACTTGGAAGCAACCTGCCTAGTGTTGACTGGGCCACAATAGCCAAGGAAAATGATTCCATACCCTCACAAAGGTAAGTCCACTTTAAGGGTATTGTGGTAGTCCAGACCGACAAACCACTGGAGTTGCACCAGTAGTAAGGGAAGGCATCTGTGTCCAAATCATCTTCATCAAGTGGAACAGCTGAAATGTTTTCACCAACCCAAATCTCATTGGTCACAAAACTCCAGTTTTCCAGTGCAGTGAAAGTGACCTCCAAAACATCAGTACCATTTTCTTCTGCAATTCTTGTGCATACCGATCCCAGCACCATTGAATCTCCAGCAAGGATGTCGTGACATTCCTCCATGGAGCCATCCACAGTGTCAATGCAGATTTCAATTTCAACATCAACGGGTGGCAAAGTTTGGTTGAAATCAGTGCATGGTTCGAGTGGGGGGCACTCACAGTTCAGTTCAAAGTCAAACCAGCCATACAAGTCCTCTTGATACTCGGTCGCAAAGAGGGTCACCTCAGATTCGTCAATGACAGTGCCATTTTCGTAAACCTGAACAAATGTTGTTTGGGAAACAACTGAAAGGTCAAAAGTGCTTGCTTCTTCACAATTGTACTCCCACTTCAGCTCAACTCTGTCAGTCCACTCGTATACACCGCTTGAATTACACCAGTAATAGGGGAAACGGTCAGTGTCAATCGTCCCATCAGACTCCGTTGGCACACTTGAAACATTCTCCCCAATCCAATATTCAAGGGAGATGAACTTCCAGGAACTTTCAGCACTGAATGTCACATTCAGCAATGTCTCCCCATCCTCAACATGGACCTCAATACACATCTGACCAACCAAGGATCCATCTGAACCCATGAATTCCTCGCATACTTTCCTAGAGTAATCCTCTGCTTCCACACAAATCTCAACACACTCATATGGGGTTGGTGATGCTGTGAATGGAGCAGCAGAAGGTGTGCCAACCGTGCTAGGACTGCCCGTTGTTGAACTTCCGGTGGGGCTTAGAGTTGAAGTGCCGGGAGTTGGGCCGGGGGTTATGGAGTTCCAGTGGGGTGCCTGTTGTCGAAGTGGGGTTGGTCCAGTAGTGGAAATACTAGGAGTGGGGCCAGGTGGTGTTGAACCGGGCGTTGGACCAGGAGTTGAAGTGCCTGGAGTGGGACCAGAAGTTGTGGAGCTTCCAGTCGGGCTAGCCGTTGTAGAGCCAGGGGTAGGTCCAGGAGTTGTGCCCGTACTTCCGGAGTTGGTCAGGAGTTGTACCCGTTGAACTTCGGTGGGGCTTAGAGTTGAAGTGCCGGGAGTTGGGCCGGGGTTGGAGCTTCCAGGGGCTGCCTGTTGTCGAAGTGGGGGTTGGTCCAGTAGTGGAAATACTAGGAGTTGGGCCAGGTGTTGTTGAACCGGCGTTGGACCAGGAGTTGAAGTGCCTGGAGTGGGACCAGAAGTTGTGGAGCTTCCAGTCGGGCTAGCCGTTGTAGAGCCAGGGGTAGGTCCAGGAGTTGTGCCCGTACTTCCCGGAGTTGGTCCAGGTACCCGTTGAACTTCCGGTGGGGCTTAGAGTTGAAGTGCCGGGAGTGGGCCGGGGTTGTGGAGCTTCCAGGGCTGTGTTGTCGGTGTTGTAGTGGTGGTGTGGAACAGGAGTGGGCCAGGTGTTGTTGAACCGGGCGTTGGACCAGGAGTTGAAGTGCCTGGAGTGGGACCAGAAGTTGTGGAGCTTCCAGTCGGGCTAGCCGTTGTAGAGCCAGGGGTAGGTCCAGGAGTTGTGCCCGTACTTCCCGGAGTTGGTCCAGGAGTTGTACCCGTAGTTCCTGGAGTTGGTCCAGGGGTTGTACCAGTACTTCCCGGAGTTGGACCAGAAGTTGTAGTGCTTGGATTTGGTCCGGGTGTCGTGGAGCTTCCGGTTGGGCTGCTTGTGGTGGAGCTTCCGGTTGGACTGGCAGTGACGGCTGATGGGGACAGTGTCTTCTCACAGACGTAGAAACCAGTGATCACCAAGTCATCAATTCCAGAACTCTGCTCGGAGATTGGATTGGATGTCAAGGTTCGGAACTCCAATGTCAATTTGTTGTCCTCCAAGACATCAGAGGGAATGGTCAGCAGCACAACGTGCTTCTTGTCCGTTGGGTTCTCTTCGTTGCTGTCCTCGTCAATGACACTGATTCCCTGCTGAGGCGTAGTGCGCTCCCAGGTAATGCCGCCCTCTTCTCCTGAAACGGGCTCGCTGTCACTTCCATCGTCCATGTCTCCGAGCTCAATTCTCACATCATTGACCTGCACAAAGACACTATCAGTCGGACTCCAGTCACCGACCTGGTACAGAGTAAACTCAACCGTAACGGAGCTTGCCTCTGTTGGTTGGGATCCATCCGACAACAAGGGGATGTCAAACTCTTTGGAGACTTCGCTGTTGCCTTGTCCCAACAAGCCCAGGAGCTGAGAGCCCACTTCGCTGTCGTAAAGAGTGCCGCCAACCCACGAATCGGATGATTCATTGTCCTCAAAGTCCTCTTCTTCCAGGATAACTTCGGGGTAGCAAACCTTGGAAGCGGTAGGGCTGCCAGTTGTGGAGGTTCCAGTTGGACTGGCAGTTGTAGAGCCAGGGGTTGGTCCAGGAGTGCTAGTTCCCGGGGTTGGACCAGGAGTGGTGGAACTGGGAGTAGGGCCAGGAGTGGCGGTTCCCGGAGATGGACCAGGAGTGGTAGATCCTGGAGTGGGGCCAGGGGTGGTGGAACTACCAGTTGGGCTGCTAGTTGTAGTTGGAAGTTGGGGTGGACCAGAGTGGTCGAGCTTCCGGTTGGGCTGCTTGTAGTGGAAGTGGGGTTGGACCAGGAGTGGTCGAGCTTCCGGTTGGGTGCTTGTGGTGGAGTCCGTTGGGCTGGCAGTGAGGCCATGGGGACATGTCTTTTCACAGACGTAGAAACCGGTATCACCAAGTCATCAATTCCAGAACTCTGCTCGGAGATTGGATTGGATGTCAAGGTTCGGAACTCAATGTCAATTTGTTGTCCTCCAAAACATCGGAAGGAATGGTCAGCAGCACAACGTGCTTCTTGTCCGTTGGGTTCTCTTCGTTGCTGTCCTCGTCAATGACACTGATTCCCTGCTGGGGAGTAGTGCGCTCCCAGGTAATGCCTCCCTCTTCTCCTGAAACGGGCTCGCTGTCACTTCCATCATCCATGTCTCCGAGCTCAATTCTGACATCATTGACCTGCACAAAGACACTATCTGTCGGACTCCAGTCGCCGACCTGGTACAGAGTAAACTCAACCGTAACGGAGCTTGCCTCTGTTGGTTGGGATCCATCCGACAACAAGGGGATGTCAAACTCTTTGGAGACTTCGCTGTTGCCTTGTCCCAACAAGCCCAGGAGCTGAGAGCCAACTTCGCTGTCGTAAAGTGTGCCGCCAACCCACGAATCGGATGATTCGTTGTCCTCAAAGTCCTCTTCTTCCAGGATAACTTCGGGGTAGCAAACCTTGGAAACGGTAGGGCTGCCAGTTGTGGAGGTTCCAGTTGGACTGGCAGTTGTTGGTGTAGGGCCAGGTGTTCCAGATGATGGGCTAGATGTGCTTGTTGATTGTGTGGGAGGCTGAGTTGCTTCTGTTGATGGAGGCTTTGGAGGAGCTGGATTTCCATCAGTAGGTGTAGTAGGAGATGTGGTTGATCCGGAGGGGGAAGGCGATGCGCTAGTGGTTGGTGTAGGTCCTGGAGAACTGGTGGTTGGGGTGGGTCGAGGAGATCCTGAGGGAGGTTGAGTTTCTTCTGTTGACGGAGGCTTCGGAGGAGCTGGATTCCCATCAGTTGGTGTAGTGGGCGAATTCGTCAACCCTGTTGGGGAGGGTGAAGCGGTGGTGGTTGGTGTTGGACCTGGAGAACTAGCAGTTGGTGTAGGTCCAGGTGAACTTGTACTTGGTGTGGGTTGTTGAGAACTTGCGAATGGTGTTGGCCCTGGCGTCGCATCTTCACTGGCAGGTGTTGGCCCTGGGGTTCCGGTGGCAGGTGTTGGCCCTGGAGTAGCAGATGTTGGTGTTGGTCCAGGGGTTCCAGAAGTTGGTGTTGGTTCTGGAGTGCCAGGTGTTGGGCCTGGGGTCACCCGTCTAGTGGAGGGCGTTGGTCCCCGAGTGGGTCCGGGTGTTCCAGTGCTAGTGGTGGGTGTTGGGCCAGGAGTACCACTGGTGGGAGTTGGTCCAGGGGTTCCAGAGGTTCCAGACGTTGGTGTTGGTCCAGGGGTTCCAGACGTTGGAGTTGGTCCTGGTGTCACCTCTTCAGTGGTTTCAGTTGGCCCGGTTGCTGGAGTGCCAACAACAGATGGAGTTTGTGTGGCACCAGTAGTTGTGGGGGTTGGGCCTGTATTACCAGAAATTGGTGTTGGGCCTGGAGAACCTTTTCCATCGGTAGGTCTGGGTCCTGGACTTGCACTTGCTTTTGGGGTTGTCTTTGTGGTTGGTTGAGGAGACGCAAGGCCTTTTGTTGGCTCTGGTACTGTAGAGGAAGGAGTTTCTGCACTTACCAGAGATGGGACATCACTAGGTGGGACCTGTGATGTTGGTTGGTGAAACTAAGGGAGGCATTGAGGACAAGTCAAGTTAGAATATTTTCAATCCATGTAGCGATTTGACCAGACATCACAATCAACAACAGTTGGGTAAAGGAGTACTTACCTCTGCAGATGGCTCAGCAGTAACAGGAGATGGACCGGGGGTGCCAACCTTGCCAGGGGTGGGTCTGGGTGGAACACTACCAGAGGTCTCTGTTGTGGCAACTGTGCTGGGGCTCAGTGTGCTACCTTCTCCAGTTGGACCATGTGATTTAGTGGCTATGGGAGTACCAACAACAGATGGAGTTGGTGTGGCACCAGTAGTTGTGGGAGTTGGACCAGGAGAACCACCAACCGTTGGGCTTGGAGTGCCTGTGGTTGGTGTGGGTCCTGGGCTTGAAGACAATGAACTTGGTTCTGGTGTTTTCTTTATGCTTGGTTGAGGAGACTCAAGGCCTTTTGTTGGCTCTGGTACAATGGATGGAGATGTCGCAGTACTTACCATTGGAATATCACTAGTTGGGACCACAACTGTTGGCTGGCAGGCAAAGATATGCAAATAAAATTGTAAGGTAAGGTAAAAACATTCTTTGCGGAGGAAGAGAGACCCGGGAAATGCAAGCAACAAAAGTCATGATCCTGGTCATCGTGACTTACCTCTCCGGTAAGTGGTGTAGGCACCTCGAATGAAAATGGTGGTGTTCGAGACACTTTAGTTGGAGAAATTGTAGTGGGCGATGGTGCAGATGTTCCAGGTGTTGGACCTGGTGTGCCACCCTTCCCTGGAGTGGGTCTGGGAGGAACACTTCCAGAGGTCTCTGTTGTGGTGGTAGTGCTAGGGCTCAGAGTGCTGCCTTCCCCAGTGGGTCCAGCCGTGCCTGGGGTCGACCCAACAGATGGAACCGGAGTGCCTTCAGAAGTACTGGGGGTTGGTCCAGGGGTGCCAACTTTGCCCGGGGTGGGTCTGGGTGGAACACTACCAGAGGTCTCTGTTGTGGCGACTGTGCTAGGGGTGAGAGTGCTGCCTTCCCCAGTGGGTCCAGCTGTGCTTGGTGTCGAACCAACAGATGGAATCGGAGTGCCTTCAGAAGTACTAGGTGTGGGCCCTGGAGTACCAACCTTGCCTGGAGTTGGTTTGGATGGAACACTTCCAGTGGTCTCTGTGGTGGATGTTGTGCTTGGGCTTAGAGTGCTTCCTTCGCCGGTGGGTCCAGATGTGCTTGGAGTCGACCCAACAGTAGGTACTGGAGTGCCTTCAGAAGAACTGGGTGTTGGCCCTGGAGTACCAACCTTGCCTGGAGTTGGTTTGGGTGGAACACTTCCAGTGGTCTCTGTGGTGGAGGTTGTGCTTGGGTTCAGAGTGCTGCCTTCGCCAGTGGGTCCAGCTGTGCTTGGGGTCGACCCAACAGCTGAAGGGCTTGGAGTGCCTGTGGTGGGTGTGGGTCCTGGACCCGAAAAGGATGGTTCTGATGTTGTCTTCGTGCTTGGAGACTCAAAGCCTTTTGTTGGCTCTGGTGCTATGGAAGGAGATGATGTAGTACTTACACTTGGAATACCACTAGTTGGGACTGAATTTGTGGGCTGGCAGACCAATGGGGTGACAACAAGGAAAAATATGAGGTAGGGTACAATGACATTCTTTGTTTTGTGGCAATAGAGAGAACTGGAAGGAAATGCAAGCCATAAAAGTTATGAGCTGGGCATGTTGACTTACCTCTGCAGAAAGTGGTGTAGGGACTTCGAATGAAAATGGTGGTGTTCGTGACACTTTAGTCGGAGAAAGTGTAGTGGGCGATGGCGCCGAAGTTCCAGGTGTTGGTCCTGGGGTGCCAACCTTGCCTGGAGTGGGTCTGGGAGGAACACTTCCTGAAGTTTCATAGGTGGTGGTAGTGCTGGGACTCAACGTACTTCCCTCCCCAGTTGGTACCTGAGTGGAAGGGGATGTTCCACCAGTAGAAGGAGGTAGTGTGGCTTCTTTTGTGGGGCTAGCAGTTGAACCATCAGTGGGCGTTGGTGCAGGAGTGCCTTCAGAAGAACCGGGTGTCGGTCCTGGGGTGCCAACCTTGCCCGGGGTGGGTCTTGGAGGAACATTTCCTGGGATTTCTGGGCTAGGGCTCAAGGTACTTTCTTTGCCAGAAGACCCTGTGGGTGATACAGATGGGGTGTCAGTTGGCCATTCTGATGGAACGGTACTTGGGCTTGGTAAGTCGTTTGATGGACCTTGCGTGAATCCTGGTTCATTATTTGATGTGGGACTGGCCGTGCTTCCTGAACTTGGGGGAACAGTCTCAATGTCGATAGGTGAACTTCTTGTTCCTGTGGTTGGTGAAAGCGAGCTCAAGGATACTGAAGTAGTGTGCTCACTGGTTGTCAGTATTGATGATGCTGCAGTTGGACTCCCTGTGAAGTTTTCTGTTGAGCTAGGAGTAAGAGTGCTTCCTCGAGTGGGTGCGCCCGTGGATGAAGGCATTGAACCACCAGCAGTTGGGAGAGTGGTGGTATCAGTGGCACTAACTGTGGGTCCTGGTGTTCCAGCCTTGCTGGGGGTAGGTGCAGGAGGAACACTTCCTGAAGTACCTGAACTTGGGCTCGGGGAACCTCCCTCACCAGTTGGTCCCACCAGAATAACCCCCAAAGAAGGACCTATAGTAGTTCCAGTGGTTGCTGGAGTTGGGCTTGGGCTTTGTGATTCCTTGGTGGGGCTAGCTGTGGAGCCGTCTTCTGGTGCCGGTACATGTGTGGCCTCAGAAGAACTTGGTGTCGGTCCTGGAGTGCCAATTTTGCCTGGAGTTGGTCTGGGAGGAACATTTCCAGATGTCTCTGTTGTAGCGACCATGCTAGGTACCAAAGTGCTGCCTTCGCCAGTGGGTCCAGCTGTGCTTGGGGTCGACCCAACAGATGGAACTGGAGTGCCTTCAGAAGACCTGGGTGTTGGCCCAGGGGTGCCAACCTTGCCTGGAGTGGGTTTGGGTGGAACACTTCCAGTGGGCTCTGTGGTGGATGTTGTGCTTGGGCTCAGAGTGCTGCCTGCCGTGTTGTATTTTGTGGGTTCTGATGTACCTGGGTAGGATGAAGGTTGAGCTGACTGACTGCCACCTCCTGTGGTGATCATGGTTTCACTTGGTGTGGGAGAGGGTGTAGCTGATGTGGGGCCTGGTGCACTTGGACTTTCGGTGCCTCCTTCGTCGCTGGACTTAGTTGGTTCTGGTGTACCTGGAGAAGATGAAGGTTGAGCTGACTGACTGCCACCACCTGTGGTGATCATGGTTTCACTTGGTGTCGGAGCGGGTGTGCCTAAATTGGTGCTTGCGGTAGGAGTTGACCCTGTTAAACTTGATGTCGGCCCTACTGTATCTGTTTCCAACGTGGGGCTCGCGGTCGAGCCATCATTTGTGGTAACGGTTGGAGTTGCCTCCTTGGTGGGGCTAGCAGTCGATCCATCTTTTGTTGTTGGTGCAGGTGTGGTTTCAGTAGTAGTGGGTGTTGGTCCTGTGGTACTAAGCTTGCTTGGAGTGGGTCCAGCCGTGCCTGGGGTCGACCCAACAGACGGAACGGGGGTGCCTTCAGCAGTGCTAGGTGTGGGCCCCGGAGTACCAACCTTGCCCGGAGTTGGTTTGGGTGGAACACTTCCAGTGGTCTCTGTGGTGGAGGTTGTGCTTGGGCTCACAGTGCTTCCTTCGCCGGTGGGTCCAGATGTACTTGGAGTCGACCCTACTGGAGTGCCTTCAGAAGAACTGGGGGTTGGCCCAGGAGTACCCACCTTGCCTGGAGTGGGTTTGGGTGGAACACTTCCAGTGGTCTCTGTTGTGGAGGTTGTGCTTGGGCTCAGAGTGCTGCCTTCGCCAGCCGGTCCAGCTGTGCTTGGGGTCGATCCAATAGAAGGAACTGGAGTGCCTTCAGAAGAACTGGGTGTTGGGCCTGGGGTGCCAACCTTGCCCGGGGGGGTCTGGGCGGAACACTCCAGAGGTCTCTGTTGTGACAACTGTGCTAGGGCTCAGAGTGCTGCCTTCCCGTGGGACCAGCCGTGCTTGGTGTCGACCAACAGATGGAACCGGGTGCCTTCAGAAGAACTGGGTGTGGGCCCAGGGGTGCCAACCTTGCCTGGAGTGGGTTTGGTGGAACACTTCCAGTGGTCTCTGTTGCGGAGGTTGTGCTTGGGCTCAGAGTGCTGCCTTCGCCAGTCGGTCCAGCTGTGCTTGGGGTCGAACCAATAGAAGGAACTGGAGTGCCTTCAGAAGAACTGGTGTTGGCCCTGGGGTGCCAACCTTCCCGGGGTGGGTCTGGGTGGAACACTGCCAGAGGTCTCTGTTGTGACAACTGTGCTAGGGCTCAGAGTGCTGCCTTCCCCGTGGGACCAGCCGTGCTTGGTGTCGAACCAACAGATGGAACCGGGGTGCCTTCAGAAGAACTGGGTGTGGGCCCAGGGGTGCCAACCTTGCCTGGAGTGGGTTTGGGTGGAACACTTCCAGTGGTCTCTGTGTGGAGGTTGTGCTTGGGCTCAGAGTGCTGCCTTCGCCAGTCGGTCCAGCTGTGCTTGGGGTCGATCCAATAGAAGGAACTGGAGTGCCTTCAGAAGAACTGTGTGTTGGCCCTGGGGTGCCACCTTGCCCGGGGTGGGTCTGGGTGGAACACTACCAGAGGTCTCTGTTGTGACAACTGTGCTAGGGCGCAGAGTGCTGCCTTCCCCGGTGGACCAGCCGTGCTTGGTGTCGAACCAACAGATGGAACCGGGGTGCCTTCAGAAGAACTGGGTGTTGGCCCTGGGGTGCCAACCTTGCCTGGAGTGGGTTTGGGTGGAACACTTCCAGTGGTCTCTGTCGTGGAGGTTGTGCTTGGGCTCAGAGTGCTGCCTTCGCCCGGTGGGTCCAGCTGTGCTTGGGGTGGAAACAACAGATGGCACTGGAGTGCCTTCAGAAGAACTGGGGTTGGCCCAGGGGTGCCAACCTTGCCCGGGGTGGGTCTGGGTGGAACACTACCAGAGGTCTCTGTTGTGACAACTGTGCTAGGGCTCAGAGTTGCTGCCTTCCCCGGTGGGACCAGCCGTGCTTGGTGTCGAACCAACAGATGGAACCGGGGTGCCTTCAGAAGAACTGGTGTTGGCCCTGGGGTGCCAACCTTGCCTGGAGTGGGTTTGGGTGGAACACTTCCAGTGGTCTCTGTCGTGGAGGTTGTGCTTGGGCTCAGAGTGCTGCCTTCGCCGGTGGGTCCAGCTGTGCTTGGGGTGGAAACAACAGATGGCACTGGAGTGCCTTCAGAAGAACTGGGGGTTGGCCCAGGGGTGCCAACCTTACCTGGAGTGGGTTTGGGTGGAACACTTCCAGTGGTCTCTGTTGCGGAGGTTGTGCTTGGGCTCAGAGTGCTGCCTTCGCCAGTCGGTCCAGCTGTGCTTGGGGTCGATCCAATAGAAGGAACTGGAGTGCCTTCAGAAGAACTGGGTGTTGGCCCTGGGGTGCCAACCTTTCCCGGGGTGGGTCTGGGTGGAACACTACCAGAGGTCTCTGTTGTGACAACTGTGCTAGGGCTCAGAGTGCTGCCTTCCCCGGTGGGACCAGCCGTGCTTGGTGTCGAACCAACAGATGGAACCGGGGTGCCTTCAGAAGAACTGGTGTGGGCCCAGGGGTGCCAACCTTGCCTGGAGTGGGTTTGGGTGGAACACTTCCAGTGGTCTCTGTTGTGGAGTTGTGCTTGGGCTCAGAGTGCTGCCTTCGCCAGTCGGTCCAGCTGTGCTTGGGGTCGATCCAATAGAAGGAACTGGAGTGCCTTCAGAAGAACTGGGGGTTGGCCCAGGGGTGCCAACCTTACCTGGAGTGGGTTTGGGTGGAACACTTCCAGTGGTCTCTGTTGCGGAGGTTGTGCTTGGGCTCAGAGTGCTGCCTTCGCCAGTCGGTCCAGCTGTGCTTGGGGTCGATCCAATAGAAGGAACTGGAGTGCCTTCAGAAGAACTGGGTGTTGGCCCTGGGGTGCCAACCTTCCCGGGGTGGGTCTGGGTGGAACACTACCAGAGTCTCTGTTGTGACAACTGTGCTAGGGCTCAGAGTGCTGCCTTCCCCGTGGGACCAGCCGTGCTTGGTGTCGAACCAACAGATGGAACCGGGGTGCCTTCAGAAGAACTGGGTGTGGGCCCAGGGGTGCCAACCTTGCCTGGAGTGGGTTTGGGTGGAACACTTCCAGTGGTCTCTGTCGTGGAGGTTGTGCTTGGGCTCAGAGTGCTGCCTTCGCCAGTCGGTCCAGCTGTGCTTGGGGTCGATCCAATAAAAGGAACTGGAGTGCCTTCAGAAGAACTGGGTGTTGGCCCTGGGGTGCCAACCTTTCCCGGGGTGGGTCTGGGTGGAACACTACCAGAGGTCTCTGTTGTGACAACTGTGCTAGGGCTCAGAGTGCTGCCTTCCCCGGTGGGACCAGCCGTGCTGGTGTCGAAACAACAGATGGCACTGGAGTGCCTTCAGAAGAACTGGGGGTTGGCCCTGGAGTACCAACCTTACCTGGAGTGGGTTTGGGTGGAACACTTCCAGATGTTGTGGAGGTGCTACCAATTGAAGGAGAATGAGTCGTTTCAGACCCAGAAGTTGGGCTCAGGGTATCCCCCTCAATAGTCGGTTCGTCTGTCTTGCTAGCTGTTGGAGTGCTGTATACTGTGGGTAATGCAGTGGTCACAGTGGGCCCAGATGGGGTAGCTGTATTCTTTGTGGGACTCGTAAGTTTTGGAGGAGTGGCAACCCTTGTACCCAGGGTTGGGCTCACCGTACCACCCTTGCTTGGATTTGCTGTTTTAGAGCTTATGCTTGGGCTAAAAGTATTGCCTTCACCCGTGGGTCCAGCCGTGCTTGAAGTTGCAGCAATAGACGGAACCGGAGTGGCTTCAGAAGAACTGGGTGTTGGTACCGGGGTACCAACCTTGCCCAAGGTAGGCTTGGGAGGAACACTTCCATCTGTCACAGTAGGGCTCAGCGTTGTGCCTTCACCAGTTGGTCCATCTGTGCTTGGAGTAGAACCAGCAGAGGGAATAGAAGTGGCTACAGAAGAACTGGGTGTTGGTCCGGGGGTGTCAACCATGCCTGGGGTCGGCTTGGGAGGAACGCTTCCGGATGTCACTGATGTGGATGTTGCGCTAGGGCTCACGGTGCCACCTTCACGACTCGGCACATGTGTGCTTGGAGTGGTATCTGTACCAACAGAGGGAGTATTGGTACCATCCATCCTGAGAGTTGGGGATGAGGTGGTAGTCTTGGAGCTGCCGGCAGAAGGGGGTGATGTTGGTGTGTTGGTCTTTTCACAGTCATAGTACGCAAAAACCTTGAAATCATCAATTGCAGCACTCTCTTTTTCGAGCTTCTTGGAGGTGCTAGCTTGCAGCGATAGCATCAATGTGTTGTTTGGAATTAAGTCAGCAGGAACCGTCAGAGTGACTGCATGTTTTTTGTCAACGTCGGTGCCATCATTGATCAAGGCTCCCTCAGTCGGAGTGGACCTGGTTACTGTGATTCCATTCTGGATGCTGGTGGTCAGTTGGCTGCTACTGGATTCATCCATTTCTCCAAGGTCAACTTCAACTCCATTGACAACAGCATACATCTTGTCATTTGGAGTCCACTTGTCCAGCTGGTAAAGGGTGAATTCAATCCTTACTTCGTTTGCTTCTGTTGTTTGTTCTGCACCAGAAGATACCACTGGGATAGTGAATGATTTAGACATCTCACTGTTGCCTTTTCCGAGTAGCCCCAATACATGTGTTTCCATACCACCATCCATCAAAGTGTAGAGGGAGCCTGAAGACCAACTCTCATCTGAGTCAGCATCCTCAAAGTCATCAACATCAAGCAGAACTTCAGGGTAGCACATGTATGTACGGGTAGGGCGCGTTGTGGCAGCTGACGGAGACGCAGTGCCAGGGCTTGGAGCAACTGTCACAGACGAGGGGCTGGGAGTGGTACTGACAGGGCTTGCTGCTGATGGAGCAGTGGTACTGACAGGGATTGCTGATGGGGCAGTGGCGCTGACAGGTGTCGAGGATGGGGCAGTGGCGCTGACAGGGGATGAAGATGGAGCCTTCGTCCGAACAGTTGGATTTATTGTAGAAGACGTGGGGGGTGCGGATGTCTCTGTTCCTGACTGGGTTGGCTCGTGCGTCTGGGTTCCCTGGCCATTGTGCACTGTACCAAGCGATGTAGGATATGGTGTCGGGCTAGTTTGACTTGGCAAAATTGTTTGGGCACTGGGAGTGGGACTTGGCATCACTGGTGTTGTTTCTGTACCAGAAGGGGTTGGCTCGTGTGTCTGGGTTCCCTGGCCAGTATGAACTGTGCCAAGGGAAGTTGGGTAAGATGTGGGGCGTGAGGTCACGGATCCGGTGTTCGCAGTGCTAACCGGTGGTGCCGACGGTGACATGGTCTTTACCGCGGCAGTTGAAGGGCTGGGACTGGTTTCTGTTGGGCTGACCGTGGTGGACTGAATGCTTGGGCTCTGAGTTTCAACATGTTCCGTTCCTGGTTGGGAAGAACCGTAGCTTGAAGGACTGGCGGTGCCACCGCCAGTTGGACTGGGAGTGCCTTGTTGATCGATGCTTTGCGCCGAAGTTTCCGAGCTTGAAGGGACTACAGTTGCAAGAAGTGACGTGGGGCTGCTCGTGGCGGAAGGGCTTGTCACTTCACCACTGCCGCCCTCATCGACCTGCACACTGGGGCCTGACGATGGGCTGCTCGTAACAGGAGGGCTTGAAGGGGAACCAACCTTTTGCACCCTCCCTGCATCACCAACATCAGGCCCGCCGCTAGGGCTGGTCGTGGACTGCACATCAGTGGCACCTTCGGTGGGGCTTGTGGTGGACTCCGCATTGGTATCAACTTCTGTGGGGAACGACGTCGACTCAGTATTGGTAGCTCCTGCAGTAGGACTGTCAGTACGCTCAATATCTCCGTTGTTGGCAACATCAGGCTCTGCACTTGGAGTGGGGAACGACGTGGACTCAGTATTGGTAGCTCCTGCCGTAGGACTGTCGGTACGGTCAATATCTCCGTTGTTGGCAACATCAGGCTCTGCATTTGGAGTGGGGAACGACGTGGACTCAGTATTGGTAGCGGCTGCGGTAGGACTGTCGGTACGGTCAATATCGCCGTTGTTGGCGACATCAGGCTCTCCAGTTGGACTGGCTGTGGGACCCACAACACGGTCAACATCTCCAACATTTTCCTGGGCAGGATTTTCGCGACCGTTCTGTCCAGCACCTTCCTGGTTGGGGTTTTCGCGCGCAACATTTCCAACATTTTCCTGGGCAGGGTTTTCACGAGCAGTCTGTCCAGCACCTTGTTCGTCCGGTCTTTCGCGGCTCACTTGACCTTGTCCAATGGCATCCTCATTGGGTTTTTCACGAGCGGTTTGTCCGCCGCCTTGCTGGTCAGGTCTTTCACGGCTCACTTGCCCCTGTCCAATGGTATCCTCATCGGGTTTTTCACGAGCGGTTTGTCCGCCGCCCTGCTGGTCAGGTCTTTCGCGGGCGACTTGCCCCTGTCCAATGGCGTCCTCGTCCGAATTGTCACGGTCGTTCTCTCCTTCGCCTTGCACCTTAGGTCTTTCACGGGCGACTTGCCCCTGTCCGATTTCTTCCTCGTTGGGATTTTCACGACTGAGAGAACCAGTCCCAAAGGCGTTGTCGGGCTTGTCAGGCTTGCGTGCCACAGATCCACCGCCAACAGCGCTTTCGGGACCTGGTTTCTGCAACGATCCTCCGCCACTAACACCTTGGTTAGGATTCGTGAGAAAGCCTTCACCTTGGACACTGCCAGGAAGCCTCTGCGCAGTACCACCACCAGTGACTGACGTTGCAGGCCTGAAGACTTGAGCTTGACCCCCCACAGAGAGATCTGGATTATCTCGAACAAGATCGGCTTCGTTGGTATAGTGTAGGCCACCGGGGCGACGTCCAATCTGAACGGCCCCCGAGACATCGTCACGACCACGGCTGACACTTCCAATTCCATGGACATCCGAGGGGCCCTGATTGACCGAGGCGGAACCGTGGACACTATCACTGTTGCGACTGACCCGAGCACCGTTCTGATAGAGGTTGGAACCGCGTTCCGCAGAGCCATAACCAGAGACTTCTTCAATGAGAGGCTTGGGACGTTCGACGAAAGCCCCATTTTCAAAGATCATGACCTCCGTGGTATCATCATCGAGGAGTGAGGCATATCCATTCCATGAATCAATGACGATATCTCCTTCCAAACAGTCACAAGGAAGCTGGAATGAGTAACCGTACTTGCGTTCAGTATGAATATCTCCATGTTTGTCACACTCGGTAGGTAAAGGGACCGAGTCGTTTTCGTCAAAGGAAGAATCTGCCACAATCATCAAGACATAAGCCACCATGGTAACAGGATCACAGAGCGCCGTGAACCTGTAGGGGAGAATAGTAATAGAAACAAGGCAAAGGTGAGTTTGAACGATGTCGTGAGACTGGTAATGGTATGGTATGGGGTGTGACTCACTCCTCGCTGGTCCTTCCTTTGGTGACTTTCTCATCCCGCTCACAGACGCGTTCTTCACCGGTGATGAAAACAGTATGAACGTAGTCAATGGGAGGATTGGTCCAAGTTTGAGAGTATGTAAAGGTGATGGTATCTCCGTCAGAACTAACAAGTTCGATTGGCATTCCAAATTCGGCATCGGGAGTGGTATCGACATTGTGTACGTCAATGACACAGATTCCGACTTCGGCTCCATTTTCAAAGACCAATCCCGAGTGATTGGTGAATCCAGTTTCGCCAGAGGGAATTTCCTGTGTGGGTTCGAGTACCATGGTGGGTTCTTCGGAGATGGTAGGCTGCTCGGACGTACAGAAGCGACCGTCAAGCATGTTACCATAACAATCGTCCCTGGTCGGTTCCTGCGTAGCCAAGAAATCAGAAGTTCCGGTGGGCATGGTAGTAACAAAATTGGTTCCCCGCTGCTGGGCTCGAAGCGCGGATCCACCTTGAAGACCGTTGGCTCCTCCAACAGAAACACCGGGACGTTCGGCTCTCCCAATGCCAGCGAATCCAGGCCTGCGATCCACTCTTGCAGAAGCTCCTGCCGTTTCGGTGATTGCGCCCGAATCTCCCGTGACTTCTTCTTCTGTTTCTTCTTGTCCTGGCCTACGCTCGACCCTTGCCGAAGCGCCCCTGGTCGTGTCGTTGTCGTTTTCGTTTTCGTCGGCTTGTGGTGTTCCTGGAGGATCGGCCGCCGCAGATCCTCGAGGAGGTACTTTTCCCACCGCAGTGCGGGAGTCAAGTTTGTTGGTGTTGGTATCAGTGTTGGTTTGAGTAGGTTGTTCATCAGTGTCATCGGCATCAGCATCAGCATCGGCATCCGCATCTTCAGGATCATCTTCTCCTTCTCGCTGAGGAGCAGAACCAAATCCTTCCAAGAAACGGAGACAATCAGGATCTTCCGGGTTGTCGAGGCACTTGGAGATGAGTTGGGGTGAAATGACAGGGATAGGGTTATTCTCGTTTTTGTTGTTTTTGTTGTTTTTGAATTTTTTGTTTTTATTTTGTTGATTCTGCTTTTCCCGATACTGCAAATGAAGAGGCGCTTCTGGAGCCGGAGGACAAAACTTGATTTTGACGGGATCGTCGTAATCACACGTTGTCTCCGGAGTAGTGCCAACAATCTTGCTCCGCTTGAGAGATTTTCCAAAGTAACGGTAGAACCAGAGCGTACGCATTTCCACGAATTCATCCAAATCGTCCAGAAATCCCGAAACGCCCGTTTCTTCCATCTTGTCGTCCTTAACAGTGCTACTACCGGTACCGGCACTACCGGTAGCAGTGCTACTAGTACTAGCAGAAGTAGTCTCGTCAGCAGCACTACTAGCATCACTACTACCAGCTTCAGCAGTAGCTTCAGCAGCAGCAGCTTTTTCGAGCGCCTTTTGGTAAGTCTTGGTTTTCGCAAAAGGGCTCTTGAAGCCAGTAGAACTACTACTAGCGGCAGTAGCAGCAGTAGCAGCAGCAGCACTGGCGAGAAGAGCCAGAAGGAGCGCAGCAAGCGTAAAGCGATTCATCGTCATCTTGGTATGTCTTGTACAGTAGATCTACAATACAGTAGAGGATAAAGAGGACCCTCTGTGCTAAAAAAGCGGTGAGAGTGAGAACAAGAGGAAAGGAAGGAAAAGCACCAAAGAGGGCGCCAGAGCCAAAAAAAGAGCGCCGACCCCCAAGTCACCTCCAAGCGCCTAAAAAGATCGCAAAAGCCCGCGAGACATGGAGACATTAACAAACAGTCTTGAGCTTGTCATACCTTCAATCAGAGATTTATCACTCTCATACATCGCCTTACACTAAACCACAGAGTGAATCGTGAACAAGCAACTATGTCATACTTACATGAGATTTAGTAAGACAGTCATCCACTCTGTTCTTCGGAACCACGACATTAGAGCAGTCATTTATCGCCTTAATTCTATTCCTTGATTGCAGTGTCTCCTTCTTACAAAAATCGATCGTGTTGTGACGCTGTGACGCTGTGACCATGGCATGCCTGTCGTCTCATGTCTCATGCATTCATCCCCGCTGATATTAAATATCATACGCCAACCAATCTTGGCGGTCTTTCGCGCTCTTGGTACCGGTACCGGTGGCGCTCCGAGCACAGAACCACTACTTAGCTAGTAGACTACATGTACTAGCTAGTAGCTTCTAATAAAGGAACGATCCGACAGGGAGAATGAACAGTCAGGGAGAATCGAATCTGCTTCAGCAATCCTGGAACGCACGGGAACACCAGACCTTTTGTTCCACCTGTCTGCTTGTTCCTGATTTACACATCAGATTCGATTCGATTCTTTCATTTTGAGCTATCAACCTTCTTGCAATTACTACTACCCTACCAGAATAGCAAATAGATCCACCCTATCAATACCCTGAGACAGAGGATACATAATTTGGACGTTACGGTCGCAGTGGCAGTCATGTCTTCTCTATTTGGCAGTTGTTGAAGAAACGAATGGCTGGCAAAGTTAGGCTGCCATCTTTCGGCAAATTTTGCTGCCCCAATACCGGTAGGCCACCCAGTCTCTGTCCCCACTGCTCGCCCCATTTGGTCCAACCAATAGGGATATGCCTATGGGTACCGGTATGTGTCCATGTGTCCCAGCAAGTCTGGAAAGGCTGAAGCCATTGCTACATGTACTATCAGAAGAACCACTAGAATAGATGCTGGAGTTGTGGCTAGATCATTTTGGATTTCTGGTCTGGGCTGTCACTTTTTCTATTAACTCGAGGATCCTACCGGTACTAGCTTCCAATGGTATGATTCTCCCTAATTTGCCCATTAGATCAATAGGTACCGGTATGATTGGGTTGATAGCAGAAGGGTGATACAGTCCGAAATCAAGGCAAAGCTCAGAACTTGGGAATGTTTGGGGGAATTGGAACCATCTAGTTTGACATAAGATAATGCCTTGCACATGGCTGTAACCACTACAACCAGCACATGGCTGTGACAAGCTAAGAATGTAGACAACTCTAGGTAGTTAGTTAGTTTGTGTAGGTGCCATATTGGTTGAGTTCATCCTGTAGTGATCCTGTGGTGCTTTTCACACCAACTTGTGGCTTCTGTGCGAATATTCTTAATGAAAAGGTCTTTAAACTCAAATTCCTTCCATTTTGGAACTTTATAAATGGCATTGCGACATTATGTATCCTTTTTTGACACTTACAGTCTATTTTTCGTTTTGTACAAGCTGGTTTTAACTGTTTCCGCCGCGAAAAACAGGGTGGAACATTCAGGGAGAATATTCTCACTGTGGCATCGTTCTCTCCAAGCTAGCCAGCTGCTGCTGGAGCAACTCTGTGCATAGCAAGTTGCTACCGGTAGCTAGCCGCAGCAACACTACCCAGCTAGCTAGCTGCTAGAGTTGTCCTACCGGTCACGGTATGTACATGTACTGGCACGCCGCCACAAGCTCAAACATGAAGAACGAACCTAACCAGCTAGCTAGAGCTACCGGTATAGCTCTTGACACAAGTACGGTATCACCCAACCATTTTTGAGACCCTTCAGGAGGCCACAAGACGAATGATTCAATCGCATCAATCCATCACCACGTCCAAAGCCCCACTCTAGCTGGCTCTACCGGTACCAGGGACCTTGTACCGGTACAGTACGTCAACCAACCAACCAACTTCTCTGCATGGGCAGATCATAATATATATTATAGTGATCCATCCTCCATCCTTCTGGAATGTACTAGACTGTCACTCTTCTTGCTAGCCTACCGGTACGTGTACTCCGTCCAAATACCCGATACCAGGTAGCTAACTACGACATGGATGTGTGACCAAAGTGGAAAGCAGGCGCATAACACAAACATTTACTTTCGTTCTTTTAAAAACAAACACATATTCACTCTTTTTGTGGCACTAGTAATAAAGATTCGATTGAATCATTCATTCCATTCATTTGCTTCGTGCTTCGAGGGTGGTTTCCGCAATCTAAATGCTAAGAGGTCAATTCGTCATCTTCATACAACAACGTATGGAGACGGAATCGACGGCAGCACACATAGTACAGATTGCTTCCAACGTTGGTACCGTAGCGGATGCATGCAAAATTGAATACTCATAAGGTCAATTCAAAGAAATCTTGAATCGACAGCAGTCGACATCCAAATCACATCACATCACATCACATCGCGGTCATCTTCAACAACGCCACCGCCAACTCCACCACTACCAAGCAACTCTTACAACGAAGGCTTCTTGCCCCCATAACCACCGACACAAGGTCCGCAGTAATCATTGGGGTAGAAGCGAATCACATCCGTATCGTCTTCGTCTACACAGTACGTATTGTAACCCTTGAAGACAGAGTAATGGCAAATGTAGGCTTTGGTACCTCCCTCGCAGGGGAAATCCACGGCACTACAGTGAGGACCACTCGCTCCGTCATCTTCGTCGTTTCCATCCATGCTGGGCTCGTCGACAGGGGCGCCAGCATTACTACTACTACTCATCGATGCTGCCTCGGAACTTGATTCGTCAGTTCCGGAAACATCCGCAAACTTCTTCGTCGCACCTTCCGGCAAGTTCGACATGCCAAAGTGGTGGTTGGCAAGATCGTGTTGTTGCTGAGCAGCACCGCAGCCGCCAAGGGCTACGACTCTCAGGTTATCAATTCCTCCGCTCTTGGACGTGATGCTTCCATTCAGGTCAAACCAGAACGTTACTGGCAGCTTGCCAGACGTCGACAACGCTTCTCGGGGCACCGTCACAAAGACCTCGTGCACAGCCACTTCAGACGATGACAATGCTGGCAGCGCTTCACGAGACCATGAAATTCCTCGAACAGAGCCTCGCAACACATGGCTGCTTTCTCTGCTGAAGATACCCAGGTCCACATCCGTCGTGCCAATCGTCAACAGGATTCTGTCGGCGCTGTTCCATGAGCCAAATTCGTAGACGTGGAAGCTTATCGAAACCTTCTCAGTGGCGTCAACAGGAAGAGCAAACATCTTCGAGGAACGAGGGTTCTCAACACCCATCCTGCCCAAGAAGTGGCCAAGGCTTCCATGTTGCGAAATCAAACCATTCTTCCATCCTTCCTCTAGGCCAGACTCAAATCGCTCGTGGCTGATTTCAGCGGACTTATCGCATCCACTGCTTCCAATGGCGTCCAGCTGGCGTCTAGAGTCGCAGCTGTAGTGGGCTGTGAGCTTGAAATTGTCAATTCCAGCACTCTGTTCGTCAATGTCCAGGCTGGCTGACACCACAATAGCGATTTCCAGCACCCCAGAAGAAGCAAAGAAACCAGCAGGAATCTGCAGTTTCACACTGTGAATAGCATCATTGTCAGGCAGGAAGCCAAGATTGGTTCCTGAAACCGTATTGTTGCAGGACCAGGAGATTCCATCCACTTCACCTGCCAAGAAATGGTGGGCAGGATGCGAGGACAACTCTCCCAATACGACTTTGCTGGCTCCTCCGACTTCTAACGTTACTGTGTCCTCAGAGTCCAACCAACGGTCGATTTGATAGAGCTGGAATTCAAGAGTCACGCTGTCAGCAGAAATACCACCTGATAGTGGCACTGTAAAGTTTTGAGACACTCGCTCCCTGCTTTGTCCAAGGCGACCCAAGAAGTGACCCAAGTCAGATGTTTCAGTTGTGATGCCTCCAGACCAGGAGTATTCGGAGCCCTCGCGCCATGATTGCTCATCCTCTTCAGATTCAAAGTCTTCGTCAACCAAAACAACTGATGGTTCGCACACGGATGCAGAAAGTCTGCTTGGGTCTTCCAAATCAGCACACTTGCATCCGACAACAAAGTCCAGCCATCCAAAGAGACCATTGTCACTTGTATGTTCACTTGCGAAAACTGTCACTTCAGATTCCTGGTCGACAAATCCATTCTTCGAAAGCCGACCGAGAGTGGCATGTGCGACAGCAGACAAGTCAAACTTGTCCACATCATCACAGTTATACGACCACTTCATCTCAACATAATCAGAAACTGAGCTGAGTCCTGTTGAATTGCACCAGAAGTACGGAAAGTTCTCAAGGTCTGGAGAGTCGTCCTCATCCGTGGGCATTTCTCCAACATCCTCGCCCACCCAGAATTCAGTTGACACGAATGCCCACCCTTCTGAAGCCTTGAAGGTGACATCTAGATTCATGGGGTCGTCTGAAATGCTGAAGCAGACAGTACCAAGCGATTCTGTGTCTCCAACAAGGAACTCACGGCATTCGTTGTTCGAGGCATTATCATCTGAGTCAATGCACATGTGAGTTGACGGAATATTGGGAGTCGGTGAAGCTGCTGTGCATGCACAGTCCACAACAAAATCAAGCCACCCATAGGTTTGGTCATTGGATTGGACCAGGTATTCTTGGGCAAAGGCAATCATTTCTGAGTCAGCATCAATACTGCCGTCTCCTTGTAGCTGCGCCACAGTGAAATGTGCTACCATCTGAAGGCCAAAGCTGCCCATGTCTTCACAATTGTAGGACCATTTCATCTCCATATAATCCACAACCGATGTAACCCCTGTCGAATTGCACCAGAAGTAAGGGAAATTTTCAATGTCCAGAGAGTCATCCTCGTCCAGAGGGACGTCACCGATACTCTCTCCAATCCAATATTCAGAAGACACAAATGCCCAGCCTTGGGTTGCCGTGAACGAAACCTCAAACTGGGTACCATTCAAGATCTCAAGGCACATGCTACCTGCCACAAACGAATTGTTGGCAAGAATGTCATAGCAGTCCTTGCTCGACTGGCCATCTGTCTCAATACAAATCTCAGTGTCATTAGCTGGAGGTGGTGGTGGCAATGAACCAGGGCAGTCACAGTCCACAACAAAATCAAGCCACCCATAGCTTTCACCACTAGTCTGGCTTTGAAATTCTTGGGCAAAGGCAATCATTTCTGAGTCAGCATCAATACTGCCATCTTCTTGCAGCTGTGCCACAGTGAAATGTGCTACCATCTGAAGGCCAAAGCTGCCCATGTCTTCACAATTGTAGGACCACTTCATCTCCATGTAATCCAAAACAGATATAAGCCCTGTCGAATTACACCAGAAGTAAGGGAAATTTTCAATGTCCAGAGAGTCATGCTCATCCAGAGGGACATCACCGATGCTCTCTCCAATCCAATATTCAGAAGACACAAATGCCCAGCCCTGGGTTGCCGTGAACGACACCTCAAATTGGGTACCATTCAAGATCTCAAGGCACATACTACCTGCCACAAATGAATTGTTGGCAAGAATGTCATAGCAGTCCTTGCTCGACTGGTCATCTGTCTCAATACAAATCTCACCCGGAGTTGTCCTGTCAGTGACATTGGTGGTCACATTTGGTGGGCACTCACACATGATGTCTACATCATACCAGCTGTACAGGCTGCCAACATCTTGATTCTCATAGACATAAGCGACGATCTCTGAATCCTTGTCCACAGCACCACTTGGAAGCAACCTGCCTAGTGTTGACTGGGCCACAATAGCCAAGGAAAATGATTCCATACCCTCACAAAGGTAAGTCCACTTTAAGGGAATTGTGGTAGTCCAGACCGACAAACCACTGGAGTTGCACCAGTAGTAAGGGAAGGCATCTGTGTCCAAATCATCTTCATCAAGTGGAACAGCTGAAATGTTTTCACCAACCCAAATCTCATTGGTCACAAAACTCCAGTTTTCCAGTGCAGTGAAAGTGACCTCCAAAACATCAGTACCATTTTCTTCTGCAATTCTTGTGCATACCGATCCCAGCACCATTGAATCTCCAGCAAGGATGTCGTGACATTCCTCCATGGAGCCATCCACAGTGTCAATGCAGATTTCAATTTCAACATCAACGGGTGGCAAAGTTTGGTTGAAATCAGTGCATGGTTCGAGTGGGGGGCACTCACAGTTCAGTTCAAAGTCAAACCAGCCATACAAGTCCTCTTGATACTCGGTCGCAAAGAGGGTCACCTCAGATTCGTCAATGACAGTGCCATTTTCGTAAACCTGAACAAATGTTGTTTGGGAAACAACTGAAAGGTCAAAAGTGCTTGCTTCTTCACAATTGTACTCCCACTTCAGCTCAACTCTGTCAGTCCACTCGTATACACCGCTTGAATTACACCAGTAATAGGGGAAACGGTCAGTGTCAATCGTCCCATCAGACTCCGTTGGCACACTTGAAACATTCTCCCCAATCCAATATTCAAGGGAGATGAACTTCCAGGAACTTTCAGCACTGAATGTCACATTCAGCAATGTCTCCCCATCCTCAACATGGACCTCAATACACATCTGACCAACCAAGGATCCATCTGAACCCATGAATTCCTCGCATACTTTCCTAGAGTAATCCTCTGCTTCCACACAAATCTCAACACACTCATATGGGGTTGGTGATGCTGTGAATGGAGCAGCAGAAGGTGTGCCAACCGTGCTAGGACTGCCCGTTGTTGAACTTCCGGTGGGGCTTAGAGTTGAAGTGCCGGGAGTTGGGCCGGGGGTATGGACTTCCAGTGGGGCTTGCCTGTTGTCGATAGTGGGGGTGTCCAATGTGGATACTAGGAGTTGGGCCAGGTGTTGTTGAACCGGGCGTTGGACCAGGAGTTGAAGTGCCTGGAGTGGGACCAGAAGTTGTGGGAGCTTCCAGTCGGGCTAGCCGTGTAGAGCCAGGGGTAGGTCCAGGAGTTGTGCCCGTACTTCCCGGAGTTGGTCCAGGAGTTGTACCCGTTGAACTTCCGGTGGGGCTTAGAGTTGAGTGCCGAGTGGGCCGGGGGTTGTGGAGCTTCCAGTGGGGCTGCCTGTTCGAAGTGGGGGGTTGGTCCAGTAGTGGAAATACTAGGAGTGGGGCAGGTGTTGTTGAACCGGGCGTTGGACCAGGAGTTGAAGTGGCTGGAGTGGGACCAGAAGTTGTGGAGCTTCCAGTCGGGCTAGCCGTTGTAGAGCCAGGGTAGGTCCAGGAGTTGTGCCAGTACTTCCCGGAGTTGGTCCAGGAGTTGTACCCGTAGTTCCTGGAGTTGGTCCAGGGGTTGTACCAGTAGTTCCCGGAGTTGGACCAGGAGTTGTAGTGCCTGGAGTTGGTCCGGGTGTCGTGGAACTTCCAGTTGGGCTGCTTGTGGTGGAGTTCGTGCCTTGGTTGGAGCGGCTGATGGGGACAGTGTCTTCTCACAGACGTAGAAACCAGTGATCACCAAGTCATCAATTCAGAACTCTGCTCGGAGATTGGATTGGTTGTCACAGTTCGGAACTCCAATGTCAATTGTTGTCCTCCAAGACATCAGAGGGAATGGTCAGCAGCACAACGTGCTTCTTGTCCGTTGGGTTCTCTTCGTTGCTGTCCTCGTCAATGACACTGATTCCCTGCTGAGGAGTAGTGCGCTCCCAGGTAATGCCTCCCTCTTCTCCTGAAACGGGCTCACTGTCACTTCCATCGTCCATGTCTCCGAGGTCAATGGTTACATCATTGACCTGCACGAAGGCACTATCCGTCGGACTCCAGTCCACCGCCTGGTACAGAGTAAACTCAAACCGGAACGGAGCTTGCCTCTGTTGGTTGGGATCCAGTCCGACAACAAGGGATGTTCAAAACCTTTGGAGACAACTTCGCTGTTGCCCTTCCCAACAAGCCCAGGAGCTGAGAGCCCACTGTCGCTGTCGTAGAAAGAGTGCCGCACCACGAATCGGAGGATTCATTGTCCTCAAAGTCTCTTCTTCCAGTGATAACTTCGGGGTAGCAAACCTTGGAAGCGGTAGGTGCTGCCAGTTGTGGAGGTTCCAGTTGGACTGGCAAGTTGTAGAGCCAGGGGTGTCCAGGAGTTGTTGTAGTGGGTGTGGGACCAGGAGTTGCAGTGGCCGGAGGTTGGTCCGGGTGTAGTGGAGGGTTCCGGTGGGCTGCTTGTGGTGGAGGTTCCGGTTGGACTGGCAGTGACGGCTGATGGGGACAGTGTCTTCTCACAGACGTAGAAACCAGTGATCACCAAGTCATCAATTCCAGAACTCTGCTCGGAGATTGGATTGGATGTCAAGGTTCGGAACTCCAATGTCAATTTGTTGTCCTCCAAGACATCAGAGGGAATGGTCAGCAGCACAACGTGCTTCTTGTCCGTTGGGTTCTCTTCGTTGCTGTCCTCGTCAATGACACTGATTCCCTGCTGGGTAGTAGTGCGCTCCCAGGTAATTCCTCCCTCTTCTCCTGAATCGGGCTCGCTGTCACTTCCATCGTCCATGTCTCCGAGCTCAATTCTCACATCATTGACCTGCACAAAGACACTATCAGTCGGACTCCAGTCACCGACCTGGTACAGAGTAAACTCAACCGTAACGGAGCTTGCCTCTGTTGGTTGGGATCCATCCGACAACAAGGGGATGTCAAACTCTTTGGAGACTTCGCTGTTGCCTTGTCCCAACAAGCCCAGGAGCTGAGAGCCCACTTCGCTGTCGTAAAGAGTGCCGCCAACCCACGAATCGGATGATTCATTGTCCTCAAAGTCCTCTTCTTCCAGGATAACTTCGGGGTAGCAAACCTTGGAAGCGGTAGGGCTGCCAGTTGTGGAGGTTCCAGTTGGACTGGCAGTTGTAGATCCAGTC